AAGGACCAAAAGAAGGTGGAGAGACAGTTCAGCACGTCCAGTGACCTCGAACAGTCTGGAGTTTCAGGCTGACAGGGACCCGGCCTGTCTCTCCTCCCTGCCCCCTCCTCCCTCCTGTTCTGTTTGCTCTCTCAGGACACACCTCTCCTGTTCTCCCTGGACCGGTGAGCTGCAAATGGAAAAAAGGCAGAATAGCCACAATAGGGCCCAGACAGAGGCTCCCAGTCCCTTCTTCCTGCCTGCCTGGCGGGACCTGCCTTGGTCCCTGTGTTGTCGTGTCAGAGGCCGCCCATCCTGGCCTGCTTGCCCAGTGCCTCTGTGGCCCGTTCTGTGGCCAGGCCACACCGCACCTTCCGCACTTGGGGTGAGGGGGTGGGGGTCCTGGTGCTCTCTAGGAGCCTGGAGCCTGAGCCCCTGGCTCAGCCCCTGGGGTGCACCAGAGCGGACCATGAGGGCATTACTCTATATCCTCTCTCAGCTCGTCAGCCTCACCGTTAACCTTACAAGCACACCCCTCAGGTCCTGGTAGATTTCCTTGTCTTCATTTCGGTTGGCAGCAAATCACACTGTGCGCAATGCCTTAATAAACCCCCGAAAGAACTCAATACCACACTGTGTACAGAGCCTTCATGTGGCCTCAGCTACTGCTTGGCTTCTGGCTTCCTCCCAGGTCGGGGGCCCAGGACATGTTCCAGGGGTTCTGGCCACTCAGACCCCCACGGGGTGGGGCTTCAGGGTCCCCAGGGAGAAGGACGACACAGAAGGTGCTACTGCAGGCCCAGAAGAGCTCGAGCTGACGTCTGCCAACAGGGGAGGTCCCCAGCTCCACAGGTACAAACAGCCTGGGTCCAGTGTGCAGGCGTGGGCTTGGGCCTGGACCTGGGCTGTAGCAAGCACTTGGGTTCAGGTGTTGTGGGGCCACAGGTGACAGACTGAGCCAGGAGCACCCCCTAGCTTTGCAGCAAAAGCTGATCTTCAGTGTCTAACATTCGCCCCCCATCCCCACCACATGGGGCAGCTCTTCTACCGAAAGATACATCTGAGGGACACCTTGGTGGCTTAGTTGGTTAAGCGTCTGCCTTCAGCTCAGGTCATGGTCCCAGGGTCCTGGAGTAGAGCCCGGCATCGGGCTCCCTGCTCAGCCTGGAGCCTGCTTCTCCCTTTACCTGCAGCTTCCTCTGCTGGCTCACTCTCTCTCTCTGACAAATAAATAAATAAAACCTTAAAAAAATATATGCGGATCTGAGGCTGGGAGGCTTTTTCCTCTTTTTTTGTTTTTGTTTTTTTTTTTGTTTGTTTGTTTGTTTTTGTAGGTGGGCTCCATGCCCAGCCTGGAGCCCAGTGTAGGGTTTGAACTCACAACCCTGAAATCAAGACCCTAGCTGAGCTCGAGTCGGTTACTTAACCAAGTGAGCCACCCAGGCGCCTCTGTTTTTGTTTTTTAATTTAATAGCTTTATTGAGGCATAATTTATGTGTCATAAAATTCACTTATTTTGAGTTATAATTCAATGATTTTGAGTAAATTTATAGTGTGACTATCACCACCATGCAATTTTAGAATACTTCCATCACCTGAGACATACCCTCCTACCCATGTGCAGCCAATCCCTGTTTCCACCCCCAGCCCCAAGCAACCGCTAATCTACTTTCTATCTTTAGATTTTATGGCTGGTTGTTTAAATAACAAGTCTCCATGATTTTACCTTGTTCACAGCTGCTGGGTCCCATCTCAGTAAACGCAGCAAAACAACAGCAGGGAAACTGAATACCTTGGCTTTCTTAACAACAACAAAAGATGTCAATCAATGTAACTTCCTTTCTAGTATTTACACAAACTGACTACATGCTTTGCCATAAAGTAATGTCAAAGGGCTCAAACCAGAAAGACCATATTCTTGGCCATAATGAAATTAAGTAAAGATAAACATGAAAATTCCACAAAGTTGGCAGTTTTAAGTCTTAAATTATAATCAATTAGATTTAAATAATGTGAAATTTGGATATGTATTTTATATATCATGTGGAAGTCTAAATGTGAGAATATACCAAAGAAACAGAAGAATATAAAACAGGAATCTAGCCTTTCATATGATAAAAGAATATACAAAAATGTACAATAGTACTTTCATCTATTAATCATTCAACCTGCAACGACATTCAAAATGACAACTAGGACAGTAACACTAAAAAATAGATGGATAATACAAGTAAAGCTTTAAAAATATTTTTCTTCTGTAAGTGGATGTAATTATATTTTAAAACTGCTTACCAGGTGATGTACCAAACCACGTCAATTTTATAATTCCTAAGAAAACTATATGAAGTTTTAAAACTTACATATTTGTTGGGGCGCCTGGGTGGCTCAGTGGTTTAAAGCCTCTGCCTTTGGCTCAGGTCATGATCCCAGAGTCCTGGTATCAAGCCCCAAGTCGGGCTCTCTGCTCTGCAGGGAGCCTGCTTCCTCCCCTCTCTCTCTCTGCCTGCCTCTCTGCCTACTTGTGATTTCTCTGTCAAATAAATAAAATCTTTTTTAAAAAAATTTACCTATTTGTTGTGAAAGGAAAAGTAGAAAAGTGATTTTTCCTAGTATTTAAAATTACTTAGGTTTTTTTTTAAAGATTTTGTTATTTATTTGACAGAGAGGGATCACAAGGAGGCAGAGAGAGAGGGAGAAGCAGGCTCCCCACTGAGCAGAGAGCCTGATGCGCGGCTCGGTCCCAGGACCCTGAGCTCATGACCTGAGCCAAAGGCAGAGGCATAATCCACTGAGCCACCCAGGCACCCCTACTCAGTATTTTTTTTAAGATTTTATTTATCAATGAGAGAGAAATGCAGAGGGAGAAGCAGGCTCCCCACATTGCTGGGAGCCCAACTGGGGGACTCATTCCCAGGATCCTGGGATCATGACCCCGACACTTAGCTGACTGAGCCACCCAGGCGCCCAAAGATTACTCCGTATTTTTGTGTTTATTTTTTTATCTTTTTCAAACCTGAACCCATACCGCATATAAAAATAACTTAAGGTTTTAGAGAGAGTGCGCGTGCCTGTGGGGGGGGGGGCAGGGAGGCAGAGGAGCAGAGGGAACAGGAGAGGAAGAATCTCAAGCAGACGCTGTGCTCACTGGATCTCACAGTCCCGGAGATTGTGACCAGAGCCAAAATCAAGTCATACGCTTCACTGCTTTGCCAGCTGAGCCATCGAGGTGTCCCATGAAATTGTTCTGCTCTTTTCATTAAGCATAAAACACTCTTTTCAACTGCCTTCTGCTTTTAGCCACAGTAACTCAAACAGGTGGGAATAAACAAAGACCACCCAAATGAGAACAGGGACTGTGCATCTGGAGCTTGCTAGAAAAGGAGCCACCCATCATCCCTTGCATTTGGCAGAGACTCAAGGTAGAGGAGTGGGAAAGCCTTAAGCGTGAAAACGAGGGAAGGTTTCAGGGGGTGTGCTGATTAGGGGCTGTTGGCCTGGAAGGGGAAGCTGGCTAACTGGAAGGGGAAGCTGGCTAACTGGAAGGATTTCTTCTATGTTGGTGTGAGGAGCATAATTGGCTTTCTCTGGCTGGTCCTGAGATGAAGACGAAGTGCAAAATATAAGGAAATTGGCCTTTTTGACTGAGCCCTGTCTGTCCTAGAGGTTGAAGGTTGGCTTGGAGGGTTGGGGGTTGGTTTTCATGTGTGATCTGGTCACAGTCCGTTTGTAAATCCAGCATCTTAAACATTTTTTTTAAAAGATTTTATTTATTTGAGAGAGCTCACAAGAAAGGGAGTATGGGGGGGGGCGTGGGAAAAGGAGGGGGACGCTGGATCACAGGACCTCAGGATCATGACCTGACCAGAAGTCCAGATGTGTAACCGACTGAGCCACCCAGGCGCCCCTCAAACAATTTTTTAAGCAATTTGGTTTTTTTTCCCTAATATATGCTACTGTGCAAAATTTGGAAAATATAAACAACTTTAAATCTTCTATAACAGTAATCCCCTCTCCACCCCTGGAAATAAATAATGCCTGGTTTTACCTAATTGTAATTATGTACTGTCTGTAACTTCTTTGCTTCCCATCAATACACATGCAGCATCTGCACGGGGAAACTCAAAAGATTGTCTGTAACGGACCTGCACGATGGTCCGTTTAGCACGTCTACTTCCATTTTCCTGTTCTACGTCAGTGAACACTAGTACATAAATAATAAATCTGGGTGAGTCAGATTGTTTTCTTAGAGCAGGGGTAACTGCTCTAAGATGGTTTTCCATTTTACCCTTCTACCAGGATCCGTTAAGAAGGGTTCCTCCCACCAGGCCCTTGTCAGGGTGTGGTGATGGAACGTCTTGGCGGGCTGCCGGGCTGGGACAGAAGGGATCCTGCCCCTCCAACCTTTGAGGGGGTCGTGGCGGGGCTTTCCCGGGGGGTGGTTGGTTGCGTCCACAGCAGCTTCCTGTCTCCGGAAAGCGTGGGGCTCATGAGCCACCCTCCCGGGATCCTCAGTTCCGCAGCCCTCGGGCTTGGGCTCAAAGGTTACCAAAGGCAGCCTCCGCCTAGAGGTCCTTCGAATTCCAACCCCGATCCCCAGCGTTTGGGCCGCAGCGGGGAGGAGCCCACCCGCTTCCGGTGGGCGACTAGAAGCCGCAGAGGGAACGGCGCGGGCAGAAGCCGTACCCGTAGCGGCGCTGGAGGCCCGGCCCTTGCAACTTCAATCTTCCCAGCGAGCCCCGGCGAAGACGCGGGCTTAGAGACGGGGGCGGGCCTGCTCCGGGCAGCAAGTCGGTGGTAACCCGGCTGACCCAAACCCCTTGCGATGCCCGACTGCCTTGCCTGGGCAGTCACAGGGACCACGGCTGACCGCCGAGACGCTAGGCGGGCTAGAGAGGCCCGAACGCGTGGAGGGTAGCTGGGCGCTGCAGGGGCGGGCCGAAGCGCAGAGCGCACGCGCACGCGAGGCGCGCCGGGGTCTAAAGGACCCCGAACGCGCGCGCAAGACGAAGCCGGAACGGACAAGAGCATAGGGCGCATGCGCAGCGGCGACGGCGTCCGCAATGGCTCCCTCACAGCGCGTTTGGGTGCTGCGGTGCTGCCGCTGTCGCCTTTTCCAGGCGCACCAGGTGGGGCGGGCACCGGCCTCCCCCTCCTCCGGGCGCGGGGAGGGCGGGCAGGACTTGGCGGGGCCGCGGGGGGGGCCGGGTCTTCTTTGTGTTCCTTGCGGCTGCCAGGCGCGGGCGCCGTCTCGTGCGGTTGCTTGGGTCTCCCGGACGCCCGGACTCCTGACGGTGACTGGCCCTGAGGACTGGGTTTTTGCTGTCCCGCCAGAACGTCGTTCCGGGCTTTTTTTTTTTTTTTTTTTTTTTAAGTTTCCGGCGTGATGGTTATAAGATGCGTAGAAACCGGGGGTAATGGTTTTTGCGGAGGCAGCCTCGTGGCTTCTTGCGGATATTTGGGGAAAGCAGGTTGAGGATAGCCCCTCCCAGAGCGGCTCGCTCTTAATTTCACTAAGAGAGGGATTACTGCTTTTGAGACTGAGACACGACTCGGCGTGCCTTGCCGTCCAGCCCTTAGCTCCGTGGTGTCTCCCTCCCGGTGATGAGGGGCTGTTCCCCAGACGGTGAACAACCCTCGCATGGAGCGTTTTAAACAAGATACTCGGTATTTCCAAAAGGTACTGCTTCCTTGACTGTCAAGACGCAGGAGAGGGGATGTCACTTAACCTGTTTTCTCCTGGATTGCATTTCATCTTCCTACTTGCTGTCGCCTAATACTGCCGTCCAGCATACCTACTTCTTGACAGTTCTCTCTTCCCCCTGGTTACCTGCTCGTCTGTTGTGTCCTGGAAAAGGATAACATCAAACTCACTCAAAATGAGTGTTTAAAAGATGCTCAGTATGCACCTGGAAGCTTGCTAAGACCCCCCCCAAGGGCTACCGGGGGGCTCAGAAACTGTTTCTACTTCACTTTTTTGCACTGTGTTGTAGGAGTTGAGATTCAATGGAAATCGTGTCCATTTTTCAGTTATTACACATATGTAGTACGCATTCTCACGGTCATTTTCAACTATGAGAAATGATTTGAAACTAAAGCGAGAAAAGAGTTACGGGTAATTGCAGATGGGACCATTTCACACACCCCATACTATCTCTCTCCAGACTCCACACCCGTAGAGCTAGCCACTTGTATGTCCTTCCAGACCTTTTTTTTTTTTTTAAAGTGCATTTCTTACCTCCAGATGTACCCATAGAAAGCGGTATTTTTATGGTGTTTGAAGATAGGTGCTAGAGAATCAGAAGTGCTGAATCGGCAGATATGCCCACAAAAATTTGTAGTAGGTGCTTTAGGTGCTGCTGTCCTCCTTAGAATCCTTTTGGGTACTTCCCCAAGAAGACTGATTGTACTAGGATCATACTCATATTAATTTTCATATATCAACCCAGGCATCTTGATGTTAAGCATGCAGCTTCATTCCATTTTTTTAAAGCAACGTTGTGTACCTTGATAACACTCTTTCTTGCTATTATAAATGGACTCTCCCATTACCTTTTCTAACTAGGTATTCACTTATGTAAAGCTATTAACTTTGTACTCAGCCCCACTCTATTTAATTGTCTTACTGTTTTTAGTACTTTTTCATTTGATTTTCTTGAGTTTTCAGGTAGATAAATCATATCTGGGGCACGTGGGTGGCTCAGTGGGTTAAAGCATCAGGCTCTGCTCAATGGGGAGCCTGCTTCTCCCTCTCTCTTTGCCTGCCTCTCTGCCTACTTGTGATCTCTGTCTGTCAAATAAATAAATAAAATATTTTTTAAAAATCATATCTATAACGTTATTTTTTTCCTCCTCTCTGGTTTTCATACCTCATTACTTTTTCTTTCCCAATTCCATTGGCAGAAATTGAATAGTAATGGGGATTTTTGGCTTGTTCTTGATTTTCATGGGAGTGTTGGTCGTGATTTTCCAGTTTTAGAGCTGAATGTAAGGTGTTTTTTCATGTTAAGAGAGAACCCATCTAGTTAAACTTCTCAAGAATTGAAATTAAAGGTTGTGGAAGTAGTAGAGATCTACTTGACTTTGTTGCATGTGGACAGCAAGCTTTTCCAGCACCATTTATTAAATAGTCTGTTTTTTCCTCATTCCTAAAATGCCACCTTTATAATATAGTAGCTTTTGGTAGCTTTTTTTTTTTTTTTAACATATATGGTGATTTGTTTTTAGGCTTCTATTCTTCATTGATCTTTTAAAATCATTATGATTCAGCTCCACCTGTTTTAAACAATCATCTAAGCCAAATTTCTGGAATTTCATTGTAGGAGAAAAAGGGTCTGAAGTGGACATGCAAAGCTTGTGGAGAGAAGCAGTCATTTTTGCGGGTGAGTCTTGAGAAACAGGGGTTCTAACAGCCATGCCAGAAAGCGGTAGGACCCAGCCCTACAGAAGCGTGTTACTGTGGAGCCCCAGGATTCCAGTATTGGGACCAAGTTCCCTAGATCTAGAACTTTCGCCCCGTGGGTTCCTATTCCTTCAGGAAGTGAACTGGATGGAGCAGTGGCTAGAAAGTTCCCTTCATTGTTCATTCAGTTAGCAAGTATTTACTGAGCACCCTCTGTGTGCAGGCACAGGAGAAACAAGGGAAGGCCAAACTTTGTTATTCTTGCCCTCACAGATCTGCTCACGTGGAAGAGAATCTGATACACACACACAGGTCATTTAAAACTAGACTGAGGGGCGCCTGGGTGGCTCAGTAGGTTAAGGCATGTGCCTTCGGCTCAGGTCATGATCCCAGGGTCCTGGGATCGAGCCCCGCATCGGGCTCTCTGTGAAGCAGCGAGCCTGCTTCCCTTCCTCTTTCTCTGCCTGCCTCTCTGCCTACTTGTGATCTGTCTGTCGACTAAATAAATAAAGTCTTTAAAAAAATAAAAATAAAAAATTAAACTAGACTGAGAAATGCAAGGAGAAGGCAGGGCATGTAAGGAGATGACCGGGCCATCAGACCCAGCCGGTGGGTGTGTGTCAGTGCGCACAGCGTTCGGGTGAGGTGGGCTCAGTCAGGAAGTGGAGGCCGGTAGGAGACACTCGAGAGAGAGTGTATGGACTGAAGGAAGCTCGGGGTAAAATCTCTCACTGAGGCCACTTCAGTCTTTTGCAGGCGAGTTCCTATTGCGCCACCTCATCTCTTCACTACCACCAACTGTCCTGCACCCTTTGCCTCACCGAGCGCTTCGCTCGCCTTCTCTGGCCCTTGATGCCACGTCTCCTGCCTCAGCTTCTCGTTCTCCTCCTCCAGCCGTAAAGCCTTTCCTTTCAGACCTTGAAACGGTCCAGCGCCGCACTCTCACAGCCTATGTGCGCGTTGCTGGGGCTTCCCCCAGCTCTTCTTGTTTTCCTGGTTTAGATATTGTGTCCGAGTGTGTTTACGCGAGTATCGTTTATCTCCTGGAAGTTCAAGCTTCGCCATGTTTGTTTACTGATACACCCTCTCACGTAGCACAGTGCCTGACACGATAAGTTTACTGGCTTAGCCAGTAAATATTTGTTGAATCAGAAAATAATCAAGCCCACAGTGATTGGCATTTAGGCTGATTTTCGTTTTCATTGTTATGAACAGCTCTGCAGTTAATCTTCTTACAAAGACCTCTTTCTTGACCAATTATTTCCTTAGGACAAATTCCTAGAAGTCAAGTTGCTATTTCAAAGGATATCTTTTGACCAAGGTTCTTTTAGTTTCAAATAGAAAAACAAAACAAAACAAAAAGAACACTTCAGGATGGCTTCAGCAAAATTAAAAAAAAAAAAAAAAAAAAAGACTGGCAAGGTAACGGGGTATCTTGGGGCTTGCAAAGGAGGAGTTTCTTCCCTGAGCCCTTGAAGGACCAGCCCCAGAAACTACAAAGCTGCAGACGACGCGGGCATTTTTTCTTCCCCTGGTTTCCTTGCACCCAGATTCTCCCTGTATCTTCCTTCCCTGTTCCCTGCCTCCTCTCCTTCCTTTCCTCTGTCTCCCCAGATAGTTCACGGTGACATACTCCACCCACAGACCACAGACTCTCACTTCAAGCCAACTAGAGTGGCCGAGTCCCAATTAATAAACTGGGAGAAACAATCTGATCGGCTCCGTTGACCCAGATGGCCACATCTGGTCAAGCCAACTGGGATGGTGGGAGTAGGGACGATCAGGTCATTGGTTAGCAGTATAGCTGCTGAGGCCCACCCCGAAGACAAGTAGCGGGCTCGTGAGCTAGTGACTGCTGCTTGTTTTCCATGTCAGCATGTATTTCCAAATTCTGGAGGGGAGCTCCTCTCGCACCTCCGTGCCTGTGCAGTTGAGCCTGGCTTCCTGTAGGCTAGGCCACAGTGACACACAGACAACAAAACGGAGGTAGCCTGACAGATAGAGTTGTCTCTCTTGTTCAATCCTGGGAGGGATTGAGAGCAACAGCATGGCCATCCTTGGTGCCATCATGCAGGTACCCAGGCCCCCTTCCTCTCAAGGTCCTCTTACTCCCCGAGGCCTGTCTCCTGCTGCCTGCGGCCACCGAGGACCAAAAACAGGAAGGAACTACATGGGAGGCTTTTAGGGGTCAGGCTTGGAAGTGGCTCACATCCCACTAGAAAGAACCTTGTCTCCTGGCCACCCTTGACTGCAAGGAAGACTAGAAAACGTTGTCCAGTTTGTGCCCAGATGAGGGAAGAAGGATTTTAGCATTCGGCTGTGGTCCCTGCCATTTATGCCAGATGTCAAGTAACGTCTTGCAAAGCTTTTTCATTTCGTTCTTCAGTTCCCCTCTCCCCCTCTCACTTGAACTTGCCCCAGCTGGGCTTTTATTCCCCACAGTGCAGTAAAAGGGCTCCTGTCAAAGTCAGCGGTGCTCTCCATTTGCAAAAAACAGTAGTGAGTTCTCAGGCCTCCAGGGACTTGACCTATTGGCAGCATCTGTCACAGTTTGTCATTTCCTCCCCCTCAAACACTGTGTTCACTTGGACTTCCAGTCATCCCACTCCTAGTTCTCCTGCTGTCTCTCTGGCTGGGTTTCAGTCCTCTTGGCTAGCTCTTTCTAAGCTAGCCAACTTCTAAATTTGAGAATTGCTCTGGCTCTCAGTTTGTTGGCCTCACTCCCTTCGTGCTCTGAGAGGAGGTCATCTAACTGTTCTGGGATGTCTGTCTCGGACCCCACGCCCAGCCCTGAACCTCCCATTAAGGGCTCTACTGGTTCTCGGATAGGCATCCAGAGACCCCTTTCCAAACAGAAGGCCTCACCAGCCCCCACCTGCCTGCTCTCCCACAGTCCTCCCCCTCACGTATGTGTTAGTTGTTTGGGCTTAAAACCTGGAGGATATCATGACTCGTCTTTTTTTTTTTTAAACACTCTTCGTCCAGTCCATCAGCAGATTTTGTCAGCTCTGCTTTGCGGATGCGCCCAGCCTGACCACTTGCTACTCCAGTGGTTGGAGCCACACCACTGTTGGTGACACTCCCTGCCACCCGCCCTGTTGCTGCGCACAGCCTGCCCTCAGCACTGCAGCCTCAGGTCCTACTAAAACGGTGCAGGGCCAAGCCACTCTCCCCAGCCTTACAGGTTAGAGCAAAATCCCTGGTCCTACAGACAGGGCCAAGTGTGCCTGGTACAAAATGAAAATGGAAGGCCCCTTGTTCAAAAGCAGAAAAAAAAAGCCATGAAAGGTACTAAAATAGTAAGTTTTTCCTTTCTTTCCTGGTCTCTCTTGACTCCTCGTAATGTTTTTAATTTACTGTGGCATGTCTTCCTAAGTTAAGAAAAACCGGTATTTTAAATTATTAGCGTGAATTTTACCATTGGTATTATGCAACACCAGTTTGTTTTTTTAAGATTTTATTTATTTATTTGACACAGGAGAGAGATCACAAGTAGGCAGAGAGGCAGGCAGAGACAGAAAGGAGGAAGCAGGCTCTCCGTGGAGCAGAAAGCCCGACGTGGGGCTCGATCCCAGGACCCCAGGATCATGACCTGAGCCGAAAGCAGAGGCTTTAACCCACTGAGCCACCCAGGCGCCCTGCAACACCAGTTTAAAATGCAAAGAGCATTTAGCCATGAGCCAAGTAACATAAGAGTGTTTACTGTATATGCAGAATTATCCAGATTGTCCTCCTTGGGTTTTGGATCTCATACATGCCTATGTATTTCACTGTTCCCAAAACAGTGGAAATGCTGCACAAAATTAATTCAGCTTTTTTCTTAGTGATATGCACACATTCTGCCCACACTCCCCCTCATCAGCTCCCTGATGTGTAAGGAAGGACTGAAAGGGAAAGGAACGAGGGTCTCCCTTTCTTGCCTTTCCCTTCAGTGTCCTCCTTTTCAGCATCAGTGATCAGCTGTCTAGGCAAGTAACTGAAATAAGAAAAGATATGACAGGGTTCCTTGGTCATCCGTGTATGTTTAGAACACCCTTGCCTTTTATCTGCATCTGAAGCAGGTTCTTGTTCTTTGGAAAGCCTGGCTTCTCAGGCTATGGGTGCCCCCCATACTCAGGTGTAGACAGCAAACACTTAGCGTCTACGCTCGGACTCTCCGTGTCTACGCTCGGACTCTCCGTGAACACTCCCACATGTTTGTTGTGAGTCCACTGGAATCCTGTGCTCTGGGGTCAGTGAGCATGCTGTGAGCAAATGGTGCAGCAGAGAACCACGGGCGTGTATAGCGTGTGTATCCCTGCTTACAGACACGACCCATTGTCCCATGAGACTTCACTTAATGCAACACAAGTTCAAAGGTAAGATTATTAAGAATTTCAAATTAAAAAAAAATGTTTTCGGGACACCTGGGTGGCTCAGTTGGTTGAGCGGCTGCCTTCGGCTCAGGTCATGATCCCAGAGTCCTGGGATCGAGTCCCACATCAGGCTCCTTACTCAGCAGGGAGCCTGCTTCTCGCTCTGCCTCTGCCTGCCACTCTATCTGCCTGTGCTCACTCTCACGCTCTCTCTCTCTCTCTCTCTCTGACAAAAAAAGAAATAAAATCTTTAAAAAAAAAAAAAAAATGTTTTCAAGATGGCAGCAACAAAACAGGTCTCATGCCCACAAAGCCAGCTTGGCCTGTGGTAGGGACTACACTCAGACCTCACCTCCTGCCATTTTCCCTCAGACCACTCAGCTCTAGACATGTGGCTGCCTTATGGTTCCCCCAAAGTGCCAGGCACAGGGCCCTGACTCTCGTGTCCTTTTCATTGCTTCTGCTGAATCCTACCCCCAGGTGCCTACATGGCTCTGGCCCTCATATTTTCCTGTTGTGTGCTCAGATGTCAGCCTAGTGATCTGTTCCCTGAAAACCCTATATAAAATTGTCTGCTCTGTCTCCACTCTACCCCTTTCATTGCCTTATTCTCCTGGGTAGTACTTATCATCTGATGGCCACATAGTTATATGCTTATTGTCTGTCTTCTCGCACTAGAATGTACACTCCAACATGACAGTGATTTTTGTCCACTCTTGTAATGTATTGTCCTTACCTCGTCCAGGGGCCTGGCACATAATAGGTATGCAATAAATGTTAAACAAATGATTGCTAGGTGGGGAAGAAAAGGTACTTCGTTGTATTTTGATTTATGTTCCTCTGATTATCAGTGAATAGTAAGTATCATATTGTATGTTTATTGATGGTTCATGTTACTTCTCTTCCAAATTTCTTGTTTACATTCAGTAACCATTTAGTGTGGGGTTTGGGGCTGAGTGTGTCTTTGATATGCAGAGTTCTGAGTGCTTTAGAAGGACAGCCAGAGGGGCACCTGGGTGGCTCAGTTGGTTAAGCGACTGCCTTCGGCTCAAGTCATGATCCCAGAATCCTGGGATTGAGTCCTGCATTGGGCTCCCAGCTCCATGGGGAGTCTGCGTCTCCCTCTGACCTTCTCCCCTCTCCTGCTCGCTTGCTCGCTCTCTCTCTCTTCAAATAAATAAATAAAATCTTAAAAAAAAAAAAAAAAAGGACAGCCAGATAGCCCAGAACTATTAGTTCCTGAGTTTAGTTTGTAAATAAACTACAAATAAATAAATTGTAAATAAACTACAAACTTTAGTTTGTAAATAAATCACTCCAGAAATAGTGGTCAGACATCAGGATTTCTGCATGTTGTTTCTGGGCCTTGCAAAGTACAGCTTTCCACTTCCTGAGGTACATCACTAATGGATCTGTTTCTCAGCATTCCATCCCTGTTTCTTAAACTTACTATTTTTTTTGTTTTTCAGACTTACGGTGAGGGCTCCGGTGCTGACTGTAGACGCCATGTCCAAAAATTAAATCTGCTACAGGGACAGATTTCAGAGATGGCATTAAGGTATAGTTGTTTGAGAAGGGCATGGTTATCTTATCTTGGCCTGCATTCACCTTGAATGGTTAGTGGAAGTAGAAGATGGAGAAATCCCTTAGATTTCCATGTGATGATTAGTTTCCCTGAAGGGTCTTCCCACTTAAAATAACTAAAAATGCTAACTGTAGTATTTTGAGTACCCTGATGAGATGGCAGGGAAGTAAACGAAATATCAGAAGTCAAAAATAAAGCAAAAGCCAAAGTCCAGAGAGTAAGTGCCTGAGCTGCTCCAGAGCTCCCATTTACATGGCTAGGAAGGGTGTGGGGGACAAAGACAAGGCCTATGGCCTGGTCAATGTGGGAGGGTCAGTAGGAGACCACCACCTAAAGTTGAGTCCCCAAAATACTACACCCTCAGTGGATCAGCAAATGAACTAGAAATACACCCTTTCTGCAACGGGGAGCATGTTGGCCTTGGAATGGGGAATGGAACTATCTCTCTAGGAATTTATAAACACAAGAAAGCGGTCACGTGGCTTTTCAGCCTTTTACACGCTCTGTGTGAAAAGCCTCAAGCTGAGAATTTATTTTTAAATCGTCCAAGGAAGCAAAGGTAAATGCAGCGCCTTTGGAGCATACATCTTCAACCCAGGCCTGAAAGAATTTCTGCAGATAAAGTTCCAGGAAGCATATACTCAGAGTTAAAAAATCATTAAACACTCAAGGAGATATGTCATCATGAGCAAAAGAGAACAGAAACAACAGAAAAGTGAGACCCACAGAGACTTCAGACTACAGAATATATATTTGATACATTTAATGAGATAAAAGACAGTGTTGATAATATAAAAAGTAAAGGACTTCAGGCCACCTGGCTGGTTCAGTTAGTAGAGCATGCAACTCTTGATCTCAGGGTCATAAATTCAAGCCCCACACTGGGGATAGAGTGCAAAAAAAAAAAGAAGCAAAGGACTTTTAAAAATGCCCAAGTAGGTGACAGACAACCAGAAAGAGTTTATAGAAATGAAAAGTATAATCATTGAAATTAAAAATTCAGTGGATAGGTTTAGCATTAAATGTAGCTGAAGAGACAATCAGTGAAATGGAAGCAAAATCTGAAGAAAGTATTCACAATGCAACACAGAAATAAAAAGACGGAAAATGTCAGTTGAGAAACATGAAAGCTACAGGGAAGAGTTCCAGTGAGAGAGAGTAAAGAAAGTGGGGCAGAGGCAATATCTGAAGAGAAAAGACTAGAGCATTTTCCAGATTCATAGTCTTACATTCTTAGATTTAGGAAACAATAAATCTCAAACTGGATAACGTCATTATTTTATTTGCAAACAACATGGTTGTATATAAGGAAATCCTAATGAACTTATACAAATGCTACTAGAGCTAATATTTTACCAAGATCACAACAATACAAATTTAACATACAGGAGCGCATGGGTGGGTCAGTCTGTTAAGCATTTGACTTCAGCTCAGGTCATGATCTCAGGGTCCTGGGATTGAGCCCTGCATAGGGCTCCATGCTCAGCAGGGAGTCTGCTTGTCCCTCCCCTGCTCCCGGCCTCTCCCCTAACTTGTGCAGTCTCTCTCTCTCTCTCCCCCTCATATAAATAAATAAAATCTAAAGAAGTCAATAGGTAGAATTAAACTATTTCTATATAAATGCTATGAGCAATTAGAAAAAAATTTTTAAAGATTTTATTTGACAGAGAGAGACACAGTGAGAGAGGGAACACAAGCAGGGGGAGTGGGAGAGGGAGAAGCAGGCTTCCTGCTGAGCAGAGAGTCCAATGTGGGGCTCAATCCCAGACCTGGGATCATGACCTGAACCAAAGACTTAACCAACTGAGCCACCCAGGAACCCCGGAAAATTATTTTTTAAATCAAATACAATTTAGGACAGCATCAAAAAATTAGATATGTAGGGATAAATATAACAAAATATATGCAAGATCTGTTCAGTAAAAACTACAAAACATTGCTGAGAGAAATTAAAGAAGAGCTCAATTAACGAAAAGATATAACATGTTCATGGATTGGAAAACTCAATATCACGAAGATTTCAGTTTATCTTAAATTGGTAGAGATAACCTAATCCAAGTCAAAATTCCAGTGGGCTTCTTTTTTTTTTACAAAAATTGACAAACTGATCCTATTATATAGAAATACAGTACCTTGGGGCACCTGGGTGGCTCAGCGGGTTAAGCCTCTGCCTTCGGCTCAGGTCGTGGTCTCAGGATCCTGGGATCGAGCCCCACGTTGGGCTCTCTGCTCAGCGGGGAGCCTGCTTCCTCTCTCTGCCTACTTGTGATCTCTCTCTCCCTGTCAAATAAATAAATAAAATCTTAAAAAAAAAAAAAAGAAATATAGTACCTATAATTACCAAGACAGAGCTGGAGGACTTGTGCAGCCTGGTTTCAAGATCTACTATAATGCTACAGTAATTGAGACAGTGCGCTATTGGTGAAAGGCTAGACATAGAGATAAATCAGAAGGTAAATGGATAAATAAATTACAGGTATGTTCCTGCAGTGGGATGATACAATATTCAAAATAACAAGGGCAAATCTCAGAAACATTGCTAAGTGAGAGAAGCCAGACACAAAAGTCTACATATTATAGGGATCAGTGGTTTTCTGGGGGAGAGGAGAATTGCCTCTAAAGACACATATGAGAATTTCTGGGGGTGATGAAAATTTTCCATATGTTGTCCATTATATCTCAATTAAAATTTTTTTTCTCGATCTTAATTGGATAATAGTTTCAAAGATATAATTCATCAAAGCTCATCTAACTATACACTTAAATTTTAGTGTATGTCCTACCTTAAGTTAATTTTTAAGGTTAAAAAAAATCTGCCCTTAGACACAGGAACATAATAAAATTAAAGAACACAGAAGACAAAGGGAAGAGCTGAAAAGCAGCTGGAGAGAAGAGAGATTGCCTACAAAGGAACAGCAGAGGCCGAACTTCTCAGTGGTAACTTTAAAGCAAGAAGACAGACTGCTATCTTCAGACTGTTGAGAGCTGTCCTTTGTTGGAGTTGAGTCCCTGAGTCAGAAAGATGAGCAGAGGTCTGGCCGGTAGCTGGTAGGACACGGCTCAAGTGAACGCCAGAGTATCATCCCCGTGGCCGGGTAGGTGTTGCATGTGCATGCTCCCGTTGCCTCTTTATAATCGCTCTGTGAAGATCATGGATGTCTGCGTACCAGTGAGGAAACTGAAGACCAGATGCCCACACTCGGCCGCTCACTGGAGAGAGGTCCCATCTGATGGTGCGATGTAACCACCCCATCCGACGTGGGGGGGGGGGGGGGGGCGTGGCTTTGCTCCAGCCTCCGGCGTGGGCACAGTAAGTGTTCTCCTGGCCAGTCATGCCCCTCAGAGGCCATGGAGGCCCTGGCCCCCCACTCTCTATGTGTCGAGAGGACCCTGCTGCCCCAGGGAGACTGGCAGAAGGCACTGTGACACACACACAGTGTTTGTCCTCACTCATAATGGTAGAACTCTGAAGACATACTTGTATAACTGTGCAGCAGACACCTCCTCGCCTTTGCTGACAGGAGGGACTCTGCTATAAGGCTTCCGCTGACGTTACTCTGTATCCCAGACCCTCAGCAAGGCACGGGCACATATCATCTCTTTCATCTTCATAGTCACCCACGCCATCTTGTGTTTGTGGAGAGGGAACTGGGGTACATTGACAAACCCAAAGTCACACTGTCACAGTGACGGCCAGTCACTGGCAAAGCCAGGATGCAAACACGGGTCTGTCTAGGTGAAGAGTTGGCCCCTTCTGCCAGTGTCACCTTTCTTGTTGATGGACGGCTTGACCAGCCTAAATCTGAACAACAAAGGGTCCCTCCTCGCAGGCCCTTCTGAACTGTTTGAGTATCACCAGATTACATCAAAACAACAGACATAAGATCCTAAGATCCCTAGAGCAGTCCTTGATATCCATTGTCAAGTATGCACATCCTGGCATCCCCATCTCCTTGCCCTTTGTCTCCTGGGTCATTTCACTAAGGACACATGTATAATCTTTCACTGAGGTCTCTGGAAGAACCTGGAAATGTTGATGAAGAGGAAAATGCGGGGCCCAGGCAGGCTGAGCGTGAGAGTGTGCAGGTAAGTATGTCCCAGAGGGGGTTCTCTTGTTGGTCTTTTGTGCAACAAATGCTGTCCGTAACACACACTGGCTTAAAGCTGCAGGGAACACAAACCCATCCCTTTGGTGAGGCTGGAGACAGCCGTGTGTAGTGGTTATTATGGGACTCTGAAAAGGGCGTTGTCTTTGGCTAGGAGCTCTCTGAACTTCGCCTGAACTTCACCTCCTCGTGTTTCTCCCCTTGGCTCCGTTGCGCTCTGGGCACACCTCAGCTAGGGGAAAGATGCTGTTGCAGAGTCCCTGGCTTTCATGTTCCCTTTCTCCAGACAGAGCCTCCCCATGGGGCTCCCATCCAGTTTTCTGCCCCAGTGCCCAGTAAAGTAGGTGCTCAGGCCATGGTGGGTGGGTGGTGTATGTCAGAGCTTGAGTGACTGAGGAGGTGACACCATGGGTACACAGGGTGCCGTGGGTACACGGAACACTGTCCTGCCAGGGCCGGGGGCGTGGGAACAGCTGTCGGAGGTTCCCCGCCCACCGGAGGACAGAGCCCGCCTCTGCTCACAGAATCGCATTGGCAACGTCCTCCCTCTGCTGGCTTTCCATATTTTTATTATAAACGGGAGTGTTGCTCCTACGCCACTTTAACACAACAACTCTCACATGGTTGGCGCTCTGTTTCCGGTTTTGTCTGCTGAGGGACTCCATCTCACATCATCACGATTATGAGAAATCCTAGTTTGCGCCCCGGAGTTTTCACGTGTGTCGTTCCCTTGCTGTAGAGTCTGCAATGATGCCCGGTATCTACAGAATATAGTGGAGGTACTGATACTTACCCCATGATGAATGGGCATGTAGATTATTTCCAGATTTTCACTGTGGTGAGTTTTCACTCTGATTTATGTCACTTGGATGAGCCTTTTTGTGCTTTTGTCTTCCTTTGGAACCACTAGGTCGGGGAGCGTGGACATTTGGAAAGTTCCTTGATGAGTCGTGCCCAGCAGCTTTCCCACGCTCTATGCCAGTGCACAGCCCCCAGTGTGCCATAGGATGTCCATCTCCCCATTACTACCCCCCATCACACACGCACACACACGAAATGCCTTTCCTGGTGCCAGGGCGGATATGGGTCCTGAGAATAAACTTGCTTCCCAATCCTGCAGGAAAAACCCCAGTCCTCAGAGAACCGCTGGCTGAAGTATCTGGAAAAAGACTCGAAAGGGCTGGGGATGGAAGGAGGCGTGTGTTTCGAGAGCCCACCCTCGTCCAGGACAGAGAAGCCAGAGCCTTCCTTCAACACAGGCCTGCCTAAAAAAAGGTGCCGAGCTCGTCACTGATCCAGCCACCGCCCTGTCCCCACGGTGTCTCACAGGGAGTGACGAGTGGCCTCTGGCAGGCAGCAGCGCAGAGTAGCCTGGCGGGAGGTGCCATTACCACCAAGCCCTTCTTGGCCTTGCAGGGTCCCGAGTGCTGCTGTGTGGTGGTCAGGGTCGGGTAGGATGCCAGCACAGGTGCCTTTTATGGTGCTCACATCCTTGTGACTGCACACAAAGTGCAGTGTGGCCAGGGTGGTTCGCGGTTCTGGGAGCTTGTAGCCTACAGCAGGGAAGACCTGACCTTTTGTAGGTCTGTGCTCCTCTAGTTTCCATGAGTCTTCGGAGAAAGTACCTGGTCTAGAACCAGTGTGGCCCCTACAGGGCAAGTGATATTGGGAGTTAGATTCCAGTTCAAAGTAAGAACTTTCTAGCAACTACAAGCTCTGGGCCAGAGAGGTGGGCTGCCTTGGGTGTCATCGGGCAGCCTGCTCTTGGCAGCCAAGCAGAAGTTGAGTGGCCATCTGGGTGGGAGGCTGTATGGGAGGACAGGCCCCTACCTGTGCTGGGATGACCCCAAGTATGGTGACAGGACTGGATTCTTGACAGTGCTTTCTCTCTACCAGGAAATGGAGCCAGAGCACAGTCCAGCCTCCACCCAGCCCTGATCTCCAGAACCTAGGTGATTCTGAGGTTACCTTGGAGCCCCAGAAGGTCAGTGATTGAGGACAGTGTTTCTCTTCTGGTCCCGGTAACCATGAAACACACATAGAATTGCTAACTACCCGAGTGTTTTGTCTGCTCTGACTTAAGCCATCCTCGTTCTCTGGCCTGACCATCTCCCTGCCATGCCCAGTCTCAGTGATGTGAGCTGCTGGGCACGAGGACAGCTTGTTGCCTTGGATTCAACCAAGGTTGAGCAGTAGGGCTTTTCTGAGTCAGGACCATTCTCTTCCCTTGACTTGCCGGGGCGGGTCTTTGTCTGACTGTCCAGCATGGGACCTGCCCCGGACTTCCGATCGTCACCCACCCAGGTGGTCCTTGCGCATCGAGGCACTATCCTCACCTAGGACCTGCTCTTTTTTTTTTGTTTGTTTGTTTTTTAATTTAATAGAGATCGCAAGTAGGCAGAGAGAGAGGAGAAAGCAGGCTCCCTGCTGAGCAGAAAGCCCAGTTCAGGGCTTGATCCCAGGACCCTGAGATCATGACCTGAGCTGAAGGCAGAGGCTTTAACCCACTGAGCCACCCAGGCGCCCCCCTGGTCCTGTTTCTATTTTCATTTTTGAAGTATGGTTGACAGATGATGGTATATTACTTCCAGGGGCACAACACAGTGGTCTGGCAGTTTAGTACTTGAGTCCGTGCTCACCAGGCCAGTCATCGTCCATCAGCACACGTTGTTACAATATTACTGACTCTATGCCCTCTGCTATATTTCTCATCTCCTTCCTTATTTTTCACCAGAAGTTTGTACCACTCAATACCCTTCATCTGTTTTGCCCATCCCTTCGTCCCCTTCCCCTTGGGCCACCACCGGTTCTCTGTACTTATGAGTTCTTTTTTATGCCTGAGTAATATTCCATTATGTAGGTACACACCACATCTTCTCTTTCCATTCACCTGTCAGTGGACACTTGGGCTGCATCCCTATCTTGACTGTTGTAAATAATGCTGCAGCAAACATAGGGGTGCGTAGATCTTTTCAACTAGTGTTATTGCTCTCATGGGTAATGAAATTACTGGATCATATGATTTTCTATTTTTAATTTTTGGAAGAAGTTCCATACAGTTTTCCACAATGGCTGCACCAATGTACATTTCCACCAACACTGCACAAGAGTTCCCTTTCTCCACATCTTCCCCAATACTTGTTATTTCTTGTCTTCTTGGTACTACCCATTCTGACAGGTGTGAGGATAATCTCGGGGTTTTGATTTGCAGTTCCCTGATGGTGAGTGATGTTGAGCATCTTTTCATGTGTCTGTTACCTATCTGTATCTCTTCTTTGGGAAAATGTCTATTCAGGTCCTCTGCCCATTTTTTAATTGGATTATTTGGGGTTTTGGTGTTTATAAGTTCTTTATATATTAAGGATGTTTTCAGGTACATTGTTTGTGAAGATCTTCTTCCATTCAGTATGTTGTCTTTTCATTTTGTTAATGGCTTCCTTCACTATGCAAAAGCTTTTTATTTTTATGTACTCCCAGTATTTTGTTTTTGCTTTTGTTTCCCTTGCCTGAGAAGACATAACCATAAATACGTTGGTAAGGCCAATGTCCAGCAGCTTACTGGCTATGTTTTCTTTTAGGAGTTTCATGGTTTCATTTCTCACATTTAGGTCTTTAATCCATTTTGAATTTATTTTCTCATATCGTGTAAGAAAGCAGTCCCGTTTTCTCACCACCTTTCATTAAAGAGACTCTCTTTGGCCCATTGTATATTCTTGCCTCTTTCATCCTTGATTATCTGGCCATATAATTGTGGGTTTAATTCTGAACTTTCTGTTATGTACCATTGATCTATGTGTCAGTTTTTTATGCCAGAACCATACTGTTTTGATTACGATGCCTTTGTACTATATCTTGAAATCCGGGATAGGTTTTTTTTTCTTTCTCAAGTTTGCTTTTGCTATTCAGGGTCTTTTGGGTCCCATACAAATTTAAGGATTATCTGTTCTAGTTCTGTGAAAAATAGTATTGGTATTTTCTTGTGGATTGCACTGAATTTCATAGAATGCTTAGGGTAGTATGGACATTTTAACTATATTGGCCCTTCCCATCCATGAGCATGGTTTATCTTTACATTTGTTTGTGTCATCTTCAGTTTCTTTCATCAGCATCTTAGTTTTCAGAGTATAGACCTTTCACCTCCTTGGTTAAATTTATTCCTAAGTATTTTACTCCTTTTTTTTTAATTAATTAATTTATTTGAGAGAGGCAATAGCAAGAGAGAACACGAGGTGGGTGGGGAGAGGGAAAAGCAGGCTCCCTGCCCAGTGCAGGAATTGATCCCAGGATCCTGGGATCATGACCTGAGCCGAAGACAGACGCTTAACCGAGTGAGCCAGGCCTCCCTTTTTGTTTTTTATTTTTGCTTTTTTTTCTTTTTGCTATTTCGTTATTAGTGTATAGAAACACAACAGATTTCTGTATATTCATTTTGTAACTTCACTGAATTCATTTATCAGTTCTAGAAGTTTTTAGGTGGAGTCCTTAGGGTTCTCTGTATAAAGTATCATGTCACCTGTAAATAGGGAATTTACTTCTTCCTTACCAATTCAGATGCCTTTTATTTCTTTTCCTTGTCTGACTGCTGTGATAGGACTTCTAGTACTGTGTTGGATAGAAGTAGTGAGTGTGGACATCCTTGTCTTGTTCCTGAGTTCTTAGAGGAAACGCTTTCACTTCTGTGCCATTTGGTATGGTGTTAACTATGGGTTTGACATCTGTGGCTGTTATTATGTTGAAGTATGTTTCCTCTAAACCCATTTTGTTGAGAGTTTTTTTTTTTTTTTTTTATCCTGAGTAGATGCTGTATTTTGACAGATGCTTTTTATGCGTCTGTTGGGGTGACTATATGGTTTTTATCTTTAGTCTTGTTGATGCGACGTGTCCCATTGAATTGCAAATATTGAACGACCCTGGTGTAACTGGAATAAATCCTGCTTGATCGTGCTGAATGATCCTTCTAACGTATTACTGAATTTGGGTTACTGAGATTTTGTTGACGATTTTTGCATCTATGTTCATTAGGGATTTTGGTCCATAATTTTCTTTTTACATAGTGCCTTTTCTGGTTTTGGTATCAGGGTGATGCTGGTAGAAGGCTTATAAAATGAATTTAGAAATTTTCTTTCCTCTTCAATTTTTTTGAGTAGTGTAAAGAAAATAAGTACTAAGTCTTTAAATGTTTGCTAGAATTCACCTGTGAAGCCTTCTGGTCCTGGACTTTGGTTCGTTGGGAATTTTTTTTATTACAAATTCTATTTCATCACTACTAATTGGTCTGTTCAAATTTTCTATTTCTTCCTGATTCATTTTTGAAAGATTTGTTTCTAGAAATTTATGTAATGCTTCTAGGCGGTCCAACTTGTTGTCATATAATTTTTTAATGGTAGTCCCAGAGTCTTGTGTTTCTGTGATGGTGGTTGCTACCTCTCCTCTTTCATTTCTGATCTTATGTATTTGAGTTTACTTGATGAGTCTAGCTAAAGATGTACCAATTTTATTTTTCAGAGAACCAGCCTTAGTTTCACTTGTCTTTTCTATTGTTTTCTTAGTCTCTTTTTCCTTTATTGCTGCTGTTTTTGAGTCCTTCCTTCTACTAACTTTGGGCTTTGTTCTTTTTCTTTCTAGTTCCTTTAGGTGTAAGATTAGATTATTTGAGATGTTTATCGTTCTCCTTTTTTAAAAGATTGTATTTATTTATGTATTTGAGAGAGACCATGGAACAGGGGCAGATGGAGAGGGAGAAGCAGGCTCCTTACTGAGCAGAGAGCATGATGTGGGGCTCCATCCCAGGACCCTGGGATCATGACCTGAGCTGAAGACAGATGCTTAGCTGACTGGGCCACCCAGGTATCCCCTGAGATTTTTATTGTTCTTGAGGGAGGCCTATATTGCTATAAACTTCCATCTTAAAACTGATTTTCCTACATCCCAAAGATTTTGGACCATTGTGTTTCATTTTCTTTTCTCTCCGTGTGTTTTTTTTTTTCCTCTTTAATTTCATGGTTGAGCCACTGGTTGTTCAGTAACATGTTGTTAGCCTCCATTATGTTTGTGTTTTTTCCAGTTCTTTTCTGGTCATTGATTTTAGTTTCATAGAGTGTGGTTGGAAAAGATGTTTGATGTGATGTCAGTCTTCTTAAATTTATTGAGACTTGTTTCATAGCCTAACATGTGACCTCTCCTGGAGATAGTTCTGTGTATACTTGAAAAGTATACGTATTCTGCTTTTCTTAGATGGAATGTTCTGTATGTGTCTGCTAAGTACATCTGTGTCTTTCAAAGCCACCATTTCCTTATTGATTTTCCATGTGCATAATCTGTCCATCGATGTAATAGAGGCGTTAAAGTCCCCTACAATTATTCTATTACTGTCAACTTCTCCCCTTTGTCTGTTAATACTTACGGGTTTAGGTGTTCCTCTGATGTTGGGTGCACGGATACTTACAGCTGTTACCTCCTTTTGTTGGGCTGATCCCTTTATCACTGTGTAATGCCCATACAGTCCTTAAGTCTACTTTTTCTGATGAAGTATTGCTACCGCAGCTTTCTTTTCACTTCCATTTGCATGGTGTATCTTTTCCTGTCCCTTCACTTTCAGTCTGTCTTTAGGTCTGAAGTGACTCTTGTAGGCAGCACATAGCCTTTTTATCCGTTCAGTTACCCCATACCTTTTGACTGGAGCACTGAGACGATTTAAGATAATCATCAATAGTACGTGTTTACTGACATTTTGTTATTCCTGGTTGTTTTCGTGGTTCTTCTCTGTTCCTTTCCTTAGTGTTGTGCTTAGGTTCCTTTCTATTCTTTGTGCATCTGTCATAGCTTTTTTTTTTTTTTTTTTTTTAGGATTTTTATTTATTTTACAGAGAGAGTGTCGGTGGGGGCGGGGGCAGAGGGAGAGACAATCTGGAGCCTGAGGGCGGTGGAGCCCAACATGGTGCTCAGTCCCACAACCCTGCCCTCACCACCTGAGCCGGAATCAAGAGCTGGACACTTAACCTGAGTCACCCAGGCGCCCCAGTTTTTTGTAGTTTTTTTTAACTATCCTAGATTTTTGATTTGTGATTACCGTTGGGTTCATACAGAACAAGAGCTGTACGTATGGCAGTCTGTATTAAATTAATGGCTGCGTAAGTTCAAACACATTCTAAGAGCCATAAATTGTTACTTCCCCCTCCACATTTTATGTGTATATTTTATATCTTTTGTGTGTGTGTGCCTTGACTACTATCTGTAGATATCATTGATTTTACTACTTTTGCATTTTAATCTCCATAGGGGCTTTATAAGTGATTAACCCACTACCTTTCCTAGATGTTTGCTTTCCCCTGTTAGATTTTTTCCCTTCATAATTTTCTTCCACTTACGGGCTTTTCTTTCTTGTGAAAGTTCCTTTAATATTTCTTGTAAAGGTTGATTTAGTGGTGATCCTTTGAATTTTGTCTGGGGAACTATTTAGCACGTTTAAAAGTCTGAATAACGGTCTTACCAGGTAGAATATTCCTGACTGTGGGTTTTTCCTTTCAGCACTTCGAGTGTGTCATGCCACTCGCTTCTGGCCTGCAGAGTTTCTACTGAAAATCAGCATGTAGCCTTATGGCATTTCCCTCGTATGTATGTTTGCTTTGCTCTGATTGCTTTTAAGATCTTCTCCTTGAAGGGCACCTGGGTGGCTCAGTGGGTTAAGCCTCTGCCTTCAGCTCAGGTCATGATCTCAGGGTCCTGGGATCGAGCCCCGCGTCGGGCTCTCTGCTCAGCGGGGGTCCTGCTTCCCCCCTCTCTCTGCCTGCATCTCTGCCTACTTGTGATCTCTCTCTGTCAAATAAATAGAATCTTTAAAAAAAGAAAAAATCTTCTCTTTGATTTTGCCATCTTCATTATGTCCTTTGTGGGAAACCTGTTTGCGGCTTTCTGTGCTTCCCAGTCCTGGATATCTGTTTCCTTCCCCAGATTAGGGAGGATTTTAGCTATTGTTTCTTCAGATAAATTTTCTGCCGCGTCTCTCTTCTTCTCTTGAGACCCCTGCAATGTGAATGTTGTGAAGTTTGCTGATATCTTAGAGGTCCTCTCACCTGGTCTCATTTTTCATTATTTTTGCTGTTCAGCATGGTGCTTTCCATGACCCTGTCTTCCAGATCGCTGAATCGGTCTTCCGCATCCTCTAATCTGCCACCAATTCCTTCTGGTGTATTTTTTATCATTTTTATCTCTTTGTTGACAGTTTACCCACTTACCTCTCAAGTTCAGAAACCATTTCTTACCATTGTTTTGAACTGTTTATCCAGCATATTGCTTATTTCCATTTTGTTTAGTTCTTTTTCTGTGGTTTTGTCCCATTCTTTCATTTGGGACATGGTCCTCTGTCTCATTTTGTCGGATTCTGTTTGTTTCTATAGATTAGGTAGGTCAGCTGTCTCCTGCTCTTGCAAATAGTGGCTTCATGGAGAAGCGTTCCTGTGCTGCTCTGAGGCGCAGTCCCACACGGTCAGCAGAACCACGCCGTGGTGCTAGGGGTGTCCCCTGTGAGCGGTGAGCCCCTGTTGTGTCTGAACTGTGGCCGCTGTGGGCGTGCTTGCAGGTGGGGCTGGCTGCAGTGGCCTGCTTCCCTGCTGCAGCTACACGGGCACGGTCTGTTCCCGGCACCTTAGAGGCCCGGCCGCAGCCACCAGGGGCTCCCGGGAGCAGGGCCTGAGTCAGCCCCACAATAGCAGTGGGGGCACTAGAGCACCGGGCTTGCCCCCTTCATAGCTAGCCAGGAGGGCAGGCTGGCACACTGGTCCCTGCCCCCAGCCCCAGGGCAGGAGCCACTCTGCAGGCAGAGAGGTTGGGTGGAATAAGCCCGCAGGGGTGCTGGAGCAGGGCACCCACCTGGAGCTGGCACGGGGATGGAGCACTCGCTCGTCCAGGCCGGGGGAGGGCAAGTGAAATGCTCCCCCCCACAATACTGTTATTCCGGGGGGAAAACTGTAGCTCCCTGGCCTGCCAACACACATCCTAAAATTAGTCGTTAAACCTTCACATGCATACCAGGCGCTTTTTCCGACTGCTATTTCCATGCGGTGTTGGGCTGGGCTCTTGAGCATGTTGGTTTTTTTGTTGTTGTTTTTTTAAGATTTTATTTATTCATTTGACAGAGATCACAAGCAGGCAGAGAGGCAGAGAGAGAGAGGGGGAAGCAGGCTCCCCGCCGAGCAGAGAGCCCGATGCAGGCTCGATCCCAGGACCCTGGGATCACGACCTGAGCTGAAGGCCGCGGCTTAACCCACGGAGCCACCCAGGCGCCGCAGCATGTTGGCTTTTTAAGGGCAGGGACTTAGTGTCCTGTCACCCTCCAGCGCTGGGTGTTAGGCCCCAGGTTTTCAAAGCCAGATGGGATGCAGGGACTGGCTTGCCCAGTGCAGGTCCCCAAGGCCGGGGACGCCCAGTTCTGACCCCATGTTCTCAGAGCTTGTGAGGCCCTTCCCATCTGTGGCCAGTCACTCCAGAGGTTTGGTTCCTGACCACACGTCCACCCCTCCTACCGTTTGTGATGTGACCTTGCTACAGCCAGCCGTGGACGGTCAGTCCTGCTGGCTTCACGGCATCTTCAGTTAGTTGCAGTACGTGCAGTTGTTGCCTCAGTGTGTCTGTGGTAGGAGGTAAGCTCAGGGTCCTCCTGCCCTGCACCCCACGCTCCACCCCACCACGCCATCCGCACACCGCTGCTCATTCTAGAGGCTTCCCGCCCGGCAGGCCAGACCCCACTGCACTTTTAAGGCCGCAGAATGCAGGCTCAGCTGTTGTCTCACAGGAGCCACAGGCACGGAGGCCAAGGCTCTCTGCTGGGCATCGGTCTCTGCCGTCCCCCAACAAGGCCAAGGCCAGCCTGCCCAGCTTCAACTGGTAGTGCAAAGGTCAGACTTTGATGTTGCCTCTAGCTGTGTGGCCCTGAAGCTCTGAGTCATAGAATAATGGCAGTTACTGATGGGCCAGGCCCAAGGTTAACATTCAACTGCATTCTCACAGGGAGGGCTCACGCGGGCACAGTTTTGAAGGGGAGGAACTCAGGCTGCACCATAGTTGAGTGGAGTCCCGGCAGGTCAGGGGCACTGCGTCTGGAACAGAGCACCACGAGCCTCTTCCACACCGCCCCGGGGTTGTGATGCGGGGTCCTGCCTGTCATCGTGAGCCTCCCTCTATGGGCAGTCAGGACCCGGTGCTGCGGTTGCTTCCTCCTGGGGTCCTCTGCAGCCACTCCCACGGCTCCGAACCCTCCCCCTGGTTCCGGAGACTTTCGCATCTGCCTGGCACTGAGCAGACAGGACAGAAGCTTTTCCACCCTTTCTAGATGATCTCAGGCACCTGATTCTAAGGCTTCCGTGGGAATATTCCCTTGAGGGAAGGCCGGTCATGGAATCTGGCCGAGGTGGGGAGGGCATTTGTCTGCCCTGCTTTGCTAACCCACCGGATGACAGCAGGAAGGATCGGTGGAACAGAGAGTGAGACGCGGGAGCCTCGAGGCGGAGAGGAGAAAGCAGCAGTGCAGGCGTGGGCATCCTTCCCTCCCCTCCCTTGGCCTTGCCAGGCCACTGCCACTTGTTCAGAATAGAGGACATGGTTCTCTCCTGTCATTTCCATTGCAGGACGAAGCTGGCCTGGCCGGGAAGGTCAAAGGCGGCGGGGACCACCACAAGGACAGGGGAGCTGTTCCTCGGGTGGGTCCTCCACGTCTGGCCCCACAGGTCAGAGCTACATCTTCCAAGTGGGAACGATTCCTTCTGCCACCTGGAAATGGCCCACGTGCAGACATGGAGCCCTCACTGGCCCTACAGAGAGACCCCAAGCATGCTGAGGCAGCACTGGCTGAGCAGGGGACCCTGTGGGTCCAGACCCCAAGGGAAGGGCACCCCAGCAGGCCACTCGGTGCACCCAAACTTCCCTGGCCTGCGCATACTTCCACATCGGGGTCTCAGAGGCCCTGTGTAAAGCCCTCCAGACAACCACGGGACACTGGTCCTCTGGCAAAGGGCAGTCCCTTGGTCACAGGGATACAGGAGCCCCCACTTGTGCGACTATGTGACCTTTTTAAAACTGGTGAGGACTTTGAAGATGATCTGTGAAGTGACTTAAACAAGGTTACCCACCCGGACACATGTTACGTGAGCCCTTATCCCCTGGACCTCTTGGCCACTGCCAGAAAAAAAATTAGCTTTTAAATAGGATGGGACGGGTGGGGCAGTACCTGAGAGGCTCAGTTGGTAAAGCCTGTGCCTTCAGCTCAGGTCATGATCTCAGGGTCCTGGGATCGAGTCCTGCATCTGGCTCCCTGCCTGGTGGTTGCGGGGGGCAGGGAAGGGAGAGTCTGCTTCTCCTTCTGCCCCTCCCCTTGCTCATGCTTCCATCCCTCCCTCCCTCCCTCTCTCCCTCACACTTTCTCTCTCAAATAAAATCTTTAAAAAAAAAAAAAAAAAAAGGACCAGGGAGGATTTATACAAACTATCAACAAGAACAAACTATCAAGTCGTCTCTGGTTGCAACATCTTTGATTAAAGTGCTTATACCATTTAATTACAGATTGTTTGCAACACAGCAACAGAATGGTTACAAACGGGTGTTCTTACTGTGAAAGCAACAGACATACTCAAAAGTGAGAGAATTAGAGTGGTTATGGAACAGGCGGTATTCCGTGAGCACCAGCCTCCCTCTCGCAGCCCCTCCTCAGTCACAGATTCAAGAAGCCCAGGCTTGGACTGCCTTGTCTGCCCTGCCCTCCCCATCCTCACTCCTGCCCCACCTGACAGAATGTCTGCTGTCCTCGCTCTGAACTTGGAGCCGATCAGGTTTCCGGTGAAAATCAACTATAGGTCAGCTTACTATTATAGTCATTAAAAAAAGAAAAAGCGTAAGACCATTAGGCAGGACATTCTGGACTGCTGGTGTGATCCTGGTGCTGGGGGAGAGCAGCAGCAGGCCATCGGGCCTCCGCGTCCTCCCAGCAAGGACTACTTCGTCCACCCACAGGAGCCGGCAGACACTTCGACATCAGCAGCCACACACATGGGCCTCCCCCTCCCATCACTTGCGTTACTGCCCTGGATGGCCTGGTGCATCCCCACCCCCAGATTCTGGAAGAAGAATGCAGAGAAACTGGCCCTGAGAGGGGCCCCGCTGTTCTACACTAGCTCAACACGACCAGGAGACAAGAAGGGGGACGGGACCGGGGGCAGAAGCCGTCACAACGGGTGCTTCGAATACTGGATGGTGTCCAGCGCCGCCCCGATGTCGTAGTTCTTGGTCTGCAGGAGCCTGGTGAGCCAGCCGCCTTCGTCGGAGAAGCCCATGGACAGCATCTGGGACAGGGACTCGATGAGCCGGGGGTCAGCCTCTGCCAGGAGGAGGACAGAAGCCGTGAGGGGGGCAGCCAGCCAGCACCCAAGGGACCAGACCTTCCACGAGCCCTCTGCCCAGCATAGCGACCCTCCCAGACAGCCAGACAGGTGCTTTCCAGAAAAGGCCAGAAGGTGAGGATTTTGAGCAGCTCTGCAAGGCTGTATGGTCTCCTAACTCGCTTCTGCCATTACAGCGAACAGCATAGAGTCTGAACAGAAGGCCGCAGCCGTGCTCCACGGCAACTTCCGGCCCAAATACGGACATCTGACCTTCTTCCAGTTTTCACATCTTGACCTCTTCCCAGCCATTATCCAAATGAAAAAAATCAGGGCACCTGCCTAGGGGCTCAGTCAGTTAAGTGTCTGCCTTCGGCTCAGGTCATGATCTCAGGGTCCAGGGATCGAGGCCCGCATTGGGTTCCCTGCATAGCAGGGAGCCTGCTTCTCCCTTTGCCCCTCCCCCTCCCCCTGCTCATACTCTCTAATAAATAAAAAAATATTTTTTTTTTAAAACAACAGTTCTTGGCCTATAAGTGATAGCTTGCTGTCCCTGCTCCAAGGCAGAGATTAGTATCAGTAGCCCAAAGGGCCAAATGTGGCCCACAGGTGTGTTTTCACCAGTTTTATTGTTTAATGTTATTGTGAGAATAACGAGCCTGAGCAAGGGATCAGCTGTCCCCTGCTACTCAGCTGTGCTCCAGGCTGCCACCGGGCCTTACTGCCACACACACACCACCTCTCCACGTTGCTGGGCGTCCTGCCTGGCTCCAAAGGGACCCTGGCCATGGACCCCGCCCAGAGGTCGACACCGTCCTCAGGGAAACTGGAGGCGTACTCTAAGTCCGACGGCCTTCGTGATTCTGGGTCCGGACGCTAAAAAGAGGGGAGGGGATGTTCAGAGAGAAAGAGGCAGAAACAATTGCTTGAAGCCACTTGCCTGGTGGCAGATGTGGGTACAACGCAGCTTCCTTCAGTCCCGTGGGCCCTTCCTGGGAAGAGTCTAGAGAGCCCGGCCCTTCAGATTCAGGCATCTGTAGAGACTGGAGTTCCCCTGTAGACGGGTCCACTTCCTTTGAAGACAAATGAGTCCAGTCTTCGTCTCCTCCCGAGCAGTTATCCGACTCCATCTGCTCCTGGAACAGAAACCCCGTGAGCACACAGGACCCCCGCACCGAGCCCACCTGCCCCCAGCCTCCACTCCTGCAAATGGTAAGGAACGTTCAAGCAGCGGGTTTGCAGAACGACACAAACGCCCTAGGCGGCCCTCTGCCAGGAAGGCGGCCTGGTGGGCTGTGTGCAGGCCGGGGGTCGAGGTAGGAAGCGCTTGCCTCGGGCGGCCCTGACTCCAGGGCAACCTTGTCCATCCGCTCCGCCAAGGACTGCACCACGCCCTCCGGGTCCCCGTCCGGTTTGCTGGGGTCTGAAGAGCAGCTGCTCGGCTGAGAGCCACACTTCTCCTCGGTGCTGGAGCTGCCTGGAGAGACGGGGGTGAGGCGGCTTCTTTTCCCCCCGTGTTCCACATCAATATCCACTTCGATGCCTGCAGAGACCGAGGAGGAAGCAAACACCTGCGAGGTCTCCGGAGGGCCTCCTGGCTGGGGACACAGTGTAGTGGGGCGGGGACCCCACAGCGTAGGAGGGGGCTCCACAGAGTAGTGGGGAGGGGACCCAGCATACTGGGGGGGGCCCCAGAGTGGAGGGTGGCACAGGATAGCACAGCCACAGCAGGACCAAGGCACAAGGCCAGCCCCCCGCCGCCACAAGGCAGATGGCCGTTCATCTGCCCTTCAGGATCCCCAAGGGCTAACTGCTGCCCGTACCCTGGCCCCAAACCTTGGATCCCAGCACATGTCTGCTGACTTGTGCACCTTAACTGGCCCTTCCTCTTCTTCCAAGTTAATGCAACCTAATCTCAGTGAACATCCCAGGTCAGCACTGGAGCCGAAAAGCCCATAAAGAGCCCCTGTTTGCCCTGTGTGGGCAGCGGGCTAGAAACAGGGAGCCACATAGCAGACGTGGCCAGAGAGCCCCAGCCACAGCACCCAGGACCACACGAAGCCTCACACGTTGGGTGGGGGGTTGCGGCGCAGTGACAGGAAACCCAAGAATCCTGCTCGGCCTGTGGGAAGCCCACTAGGAGGGAAGCCTGGGCCAGCCATCAGGTCGCCTGCAGCCCCTCACAAGGGTGCACGTGCCCACTGAGGGGACGGAGGGCAGAGTCACTGATGCTGTTTCTAATTAATTTTTCAGACGGCCACATGCCCCCAGCTTAGACTCCAACCATTCCAGAAGGCTCAAGCAGAGATTCCTGGCCCCAACACATAGCCCGCCCACTCCCCAAAGACAGCTTTTACCCCACGCCACCTTTTCTCTGATGGCTCGAGTTCACGGCTTCTTGTTCTAGATCAACACTTAGCTCCCCTTCCCCTGTCCTTTCAGAAACTCTTCAGTGAAAACCACACTCAGTGTTCAGGTGAATGCCACTACATACAGCTTTGCTCTGCCCTCATACGTTAAGCGTTTCAGCTGGGAATCGCGCTCAAGGTTGAGAAGCCAGTTCTGTTCAGACGTTCACAGTCACTGGTTGACCCACAGTCTTCCGGTGTTGGCCCCTGGAACTCTCGAGCTCTTACAGTAACCTGGAGCATTTCCAGAGCCTCCCGTTCTCCAGAGGGTTCTGCGCCAGGACAATGAGGTCTGGAGTGGAATCTTTTCTGGTCACTGTCCAGGGCACTTGGAGTCCTTTTCAATCTAGAGGTTAATGTCCTCTGGGCCAAGATGGTCTTATATTCTTTGTTCATTTCCTTCCTTCAGTTTTGTCTGCTCTCTTCACAGAATTCCTGCTAGCTGTCCTACCCTGGGCATCTGGGAATTAATCCTTGATTCTTCTCACTTTTTCTCTCTTCTCACCTCTATTTTGTTTTTGGAGTATTTCCTTGAAGTAACCTTAAAATCTAAGCCTTCTTTTAAAGTTCTTTATTCTGGCTATTTTTCTTAATTTCTAAAAAAAAAAATGTTCTTGAACTGTTTATCTGCTCTTAAGATACCAGTTGTATCTTGTTCTTTTTTCAAGGATGGAAAAGCTGGACACTGACATTCTCTTTCCTGTAAAGCCCGTCCCCAAGTTCCTTCTCGTCCATGTGCAGGAAGTGCCCAAAAGACTGGAGACCGTGGCCTTCAGACCCTACCAAGGCCCTCTCAGAGGGGCCAGAGCCATCATTCGTCTCCCTCTGGAGGGTGGCTGAGTGCCTGGCCAGGCAGCGGGATCCCAAGTGGCAGAGCTGTGGGACCTGGCTCTGGCCTGTCTGGCCTCTACTGAGCAGGGACACCCCAGCCAGACCCACTGCCCATTCACGGGGCCCAATTTCAGGCTGGTGCCTCACCCTGCCCTGTGTCCCTAGGGCTGGAGTTTCCCTGGGTCAAATGCTCCAGCAACAAAGCATCAGGTCACGTGCGTGCGTGGGCAACGACCAGCAGCCGGCTGACCAGCCAGTGATCTCCACGTGATCCTGAAGAGTGGCCTTCAACCAACCACACCACCCCCTCCCCAGTTCCTTGGCCTTTCCTGACAGGCCCCAGGACCCCTGAGCAGGTCCGTGGGTTTCCACGCTGCTGGTTACCACTCTCAAACTCTTTTCCCACCACTCAAGGTGTGAGGTCTTCTTACCTTCTCTAGCACTTTTCCCCCCTTTTCTTTGTCCATGTTGCTTTATATTCCTGTGTTTAATCCCTTTACTGCTAATTTGGTACAGCGTGAGGAGCAAAGAGAGATAAAAGCGGGCTTAGCTACCAATACCCTCATCTGAATATTTAAGTCCTTTTTCTCCTTCTATCCTCCCCCAACTTTTCGTCATGAATGGTTCAAGCATGGGTGTCTGAGTGGCTCAGTCAGTTGAGCTTTTGGGCTCTTAGTTTCAACTCCGGTCATGATCTCAGGGTCATGAGCTGGAGCCCCGCATCAGGCTCTGTACTCACTGGGAAGTCTGCTTGAGATTCTCTCTCCCTCTGCCCCTCCCCCACACGTGCTCTAAATAAATATTTTTTTTTAATAAATCTTAAAAAAAAAAAAAAAGGTTCAAGCAAACAGAAAAGTTGGAAGGACATACAATAAACACCCATACACAGTCTCAGTTTTCTATGTGGACAAATGACAGGACTTCCGTAAATGAACCAGAGAGATTCTAGAACCCCAATTTCTCCAACAGATGATAACCTGAGACCTAGGGGCTTACAGACTGTACCACTGGTTGTGGCCTGCTTCCCCCGGAGCCTGTGAAGAGGAGGGTCTTCTGAAGACCCTGGGACAAGGAAAGGACCTGTGGTTCTGGGTCGCAGAGGTCAGTGACTGCAAACTCGGGCTGGGAGTGGTCTTGGGCCTCAGCGGCAGACCTGCTCAGCTGGCTCTCAGGGCACCTACCAAACAAGGCCTTGAGGCTGTGCTTTAAAATTGCTGAGTCACTCATATAGTCCGCCCTCTGGGAAGTGTTACTGGCTGTCCCTCTGGGCCCCTGCTCTGGGAACAGTCCCTTCTAGGCCATTAGCATAGGAGTCATCCTAGCTGTCAGGACCTCCTAAGAAGGAAAATACCCAGAGTTCTATAGAGTTTAATCAATTCAGCAAGTAGCTTTCCTCAACTGAAACCACTCAGAGGCATAGGTACTGAAACTGTCCTTGTTCGAGAGCTTCAGGCTCCTCCCTAGTGGGTACACAGCAGCTCTGCAAGACCTGAAAAGGCCTTTACCCTTATCCTACACCTCTGAGCCTGGCCAAAATTATTCCCCTCTGTCCCAAGTGGGAAATCCGGGTCAAGTTCTGAAACAGGTCACATGCTCAGATGGGCCTCACGATGGACAGCAAGTGGAACTCAAAGTCCCTGGCAAGCCTTTGAAATTCACAGCTCCCAGGCCTGACCCACGACCAATTTGCCAGAATCCAGAAGGTGGACCTGGGACTCTGCAGTTTCAAGGTTCCCTACCTGGACCTAGAATGGGGTTTGGGACTCCCCAGCTTGTCTGGTTTGTTCTTTTAGCGAAAGACTTTGTTCTTCAGAGTAATTTTAGACAAGTTTACATACGCCAAAACATACCAAAAAACAAACAAACAAAACACCCCATGTTGGTGATTCGGAGGCTCAAGCCAGCCTTGAGAACCACTGGCCATTTACCAGCTTCCAAAGAGAAGCTTCCCATCCCCCCAAATCATGGCTCCCACCACAGCACCTTGAGCAGCAGCTGGGCTTCAGCACCAGCTTGTCTCCTGATGAGAACCTGGTCACCACCCCTCTGCTATCCTGCTAGAAAGCATTAAAAACATCCGTTCTTTTCCTTGCTCTCCAGAGCCTTTAACTCCAGTGTGAAACTGCAGTCCACTGTTTCACGGAGGAGCAACGCCAGGAGGTCCCCACTGAGCACCGTCCCTGCCCAAAGGAGGGGGAGCTGAAATGCCCTCAAGCTGGGGGCAAGAACAGGCCTGCCTCCCCTTCCCATCAGCATCCGCTCACACGTGGACACTCGCTGCCATGGCAATCACAAAGCCTCTAGTCAGAGATCACGGGTCCACTGCACCCTTGAACCAGAAGTCCCAGTCCTAGTGGACTCCCACTGCCACAGGGCCCAGCCCTGTAGCAGAGGCTACTGGGATCATCCCAACCTAACACTTGTGGATTCCACTTCACTCCACAGGGAAAGTTCCAGAAAGTGTCAGGGAATTCAACTTTGAGTGGCCTGTGGTGCAGCGCACGGCGAAGGCTGGTGTGAGGCGACAAATGCTGGCCAGCCCTCAGGGCCCAGAAGTCACCATTCCTCCACGGCGACCCAAGTGGTGACAAACAACCCACCAGCCACCCCCTCACCGAGTAAAACACTGCTGCTCTCAAAGGACAGAGGCCACCACTTACCCAGAGGGCTCAGGGCAGCCGCCACACTCTCCCCTACGTTCTTAAGGAAATTTACACTGGGATCCTCCGACGGACCAGCAGCTTCAGTTTCCAAAAAAAAAACCAAACAAACAATGTACAAAGCAGACTTCAATACCTGATATGATCCTATCACCTTCCTCACAGGTGCGCCCCCCATCCCCGGGGCGGGGGGGGGGGGGGTCTTGTCCTGGCAGCCTTCCCGAACTCTCTCCTGCTCTGGGCTCCTTTGTGCCCCTGGTGCTCAGCCCATGGGGGATTTGCTACATGCGCTTTACAATACTGACCACATTCTAGCTCAAACCCCATCAGGATCAAACATCCCCACCTTTGTTCCAAAGAAAGAGGACATCAGAAGACAGTAAGTTAATAAGATCAGAATAAAACCAGAATCCAGGATTCTGGAACACAAGCCAGATGTTAAGCTCTTCACTTCGGGACTGTGCTCCAGAATACTTGAGCAGGGGCCCCTGGCCGCCTCAGTCAGGAGAGCACGCAACTCTCAGAGCTCAGGGTTGGGAGTTCAAACCCCACACTGGGTGTAGAGCTCACTTTAAAAAACAGAAGCTTGGGGGCGCCTGGGTGGCTCAGTGGGTTAAGCCACTGCCTTCGGCTCAGGTCATGATCTCAGGGTCCTGGGATCGAGTCCCGCATCGGGCTCTCTGCTCAGCAGGGAGCCTGCTTCCTCCTCTCTCTCTGCCTGCCTGTCTGCCTACTTGTGATCTCTCTCTCTGTCAAATAAATAAATAAAATCTTTAAAAAACAAAACAAAATAAAAAAAAAAACAGAAGCTTGTCAAATAAATAAAATCTTTAAAAAAAAAACAACAACAAAGCTTGATGAGGGTGCAGTTTAGGGCTGAGCACTCAGCTAGTACAGGCAAAAGAGCAGCCTCAGGCACTCTATGTGTGCAAGGAAGAGAAAGGAGATGCTCCCCACTCCCCAGGGCTCTGTGAGCTGAGGGACACCACCACCACCACCAGGACATGGGGAAGGCTCCCAGGCCGCCAGCTGGCCACCTCCCCCGTCGGAAGCCAGCAGACGCAAGCCTCACCTGGTTCTGCTGCAGAGCTGGGCCGGGTGTCCCCTGCCCGGGGAGGACGTGGGCTCCAGTTCCCTGGTGGGCCCATCTCCCAGCCGGGCCACCCAAAGTGCCCGTGTTTCAGCTTCCGCAGCCAGCGGCTGTGAGAGAAACCCTGGGGGCGGGGAGGAACAGAGGGGCCCAGTGACACCAGAGCAGAGGACTCCCCCACCTCCAGCTCCTGGCCCTCCATGCCCCCCACCCCGCCTGCAGCGCAGCCCCGCTCACCTCAGGGAAGGGCCCGAAGGCAGCAGGGAGAACCAGCTTGCTGTGCTCCCGGTGCAGGCCCTTCCCCTCGCAGGCAGCACACAGATCGTAGTCTGGGCAGACACTGCACTTGTAGCGGGTCCCTACCACAGGCCCATTGCAACCGTCGCAGATCACGTTGGGGTGCACCAGGCCGCGGGGCATCTCCTGAGCACACGGGGGGCGGTGGTCCCGCCGACACTCCTTCTTCTCTGCAGGAAGGGCAGAGAGGCAGAAGGTGGGACTCCATGGTTCCCGCTCATCCCCACTGCGGGGGCTTTCAGTCAGCCGGCCCCTGGTCCTGCTCTCCAGACACGGGGTCCGTGTGCAACCCGGCTGTTCAAGTGACAGCAGCAGGGCACCCAAGAACCTGCCATGAGGCTCGCAGTCCTGTGCCTGGTATCCAGTACAGGGGGCCCAGGCAAGCGAGAAGCCGCAGGGAGTGCTGCTGCCCCACTGCATCCCCAAAGCCGCCCCTGGCACCTGGCTGGGGCAGCATCAAGAGTGAACCCAGGGGCGCCTGGGTGGCTCAGTGGGTTAAAGCCTCTGCCTTCGGCTCAGGTCATGATCCCAGGGTTCTGGGATCTAGCCCCGCATCGGGATCTCTGCTCAGCAGGGAGCCTGCTTCCTCCTCTCTCTCTCTGCCTGCTTCTCTGCCTACTTGTTATCTCTGTCAAATAAATAAATAAAATCTTTAAAAAAAAAAAAAAAAAAAAAAGAGTGAACCCAGAGATCCCCAGGCCCAACCCCTGCGGGACTCCTCTCTCAGGCCAAGCACAGAGAGGACAGAGTCTAGCTCTTAAAGAACCCCAGGACCTTCCCTGCTCCTCGGAAGGGATTGCTCAAGAACCTCAAGCAGGTTTTATTCAGCAAGAAGCACCCGGCTTCAGGGGGCCCCCAGAACAAGCCTTTACCTTTAATGTAAATACGGAAAATGTCATCCTTCACATACGACAGTGCCATGGTCAGTTCCTCGTCACTGGAAAAGGCCACCAAGTCTCCGTCTTCATCTAGATTGTTTACAAGACAGCATGTGAGCACCAGAGGCTTCTCAGTTGGACCCAAGCTGCTGAGAAGGACACAGGCTAGGCTGGTACTAGAGGGGCATCTGCACGCCTAGGAACTGAGGCACACCTGAGTGAGCCAGTGCCCGGCGGGGCAGAGGCCGGACTGCCCACTCACTGTGACACTGCCTGGAAGGTAAGCTCTCTGACATGGGCCCTGGGTTCCCATGGGGGACAGAGTATGTGCCAGCGAATGGGGGTTGCTGAGGGCGGGGGGCGGCTGGGGGGGGCGTACTGCAGCTGCCACTCTGCCTCTGAGCCAGCGGCCCCTTAAGCAGGCACTGCCTCAGTCCGCGTCTGGCCAGGCCAAGACCCATCTTCAACTGTAGCAGACCCCCACCCGTGAGGGATTCCTGGGGCCCCAGCCCCACCAAAGGCCTTGGGCCTTTGGCTTTTTAGGAAAGCCAAGAAGAGGAGTCCACCTGCCTGCTTCCGCCCCCAATAAAGCTACAGGATTTGTAATGTACTCTCTGATTTTTAGTTTAGCAAACGGTGCTGAAGTCCCACCATGCAGGCCAAACCATCCCCCGCACCTGCAGGCTGCGCCAGCTCTGTGGGCCCAGGACACAACATCTGCCATAAGAACAAGCGCAGCGTCAAAACATCATAACCCAAACCCCCACCAGCTAAGGAGCGAACGAACAAAACGTGGTTATGTGCGTAGAATGGCCTGTTATTCAGCACAAAAAGGAATGAAGTCCAGACACAAGCTACAAGCCCCTAAACCTCGAAAGTGTTACGCTGAGTACAAGCCGGTTGCAAAAGAGGAGGAAAATACAGGGTTCCTTGTCCACAGGAAACGTCCAGAATAAGAAAATCCATCAAGAAAAACATTAGCGGTTGCTTAGAGCGAATGAGAAGGAGAGCTACCTATGCCTTAGCTAAACCTTAGGTCCTTTCTCAGGTGACGTAAAGGCTCTAGAACTGTTCCCGCAATGGGGGAGTTACACGGGAAGTGGATTAGAGCTCCATGAAGTTGTCACAAAAACAAACAAACCAGGAACCAGGCGGGCCAGCTGGCAGCGCTCCTAGGGAGGGCTTGGCACTGCCCCGCCCAGGGGCCGGTCTTGGCTGCCCGCCCCCCCCCCGCCCCCACCGGCTCCCCCGCCCCCACCCCCAGCGGCCAGGGCCCACACCCGCGCCGCAAGAGACGGAGCGCGTTCCTGGGCATCTCCGCTGACACTGCTGCAGGACGGCCCCGACTGGGTCCCCTTGCCCACTGCCGGCGGGAGGTCGTCCGCACCCAGGCCGCCCTCGGGCGCTCCTAGGCCGCTCCCGCCCGCTCCTCCCCGCCGCGCCGCCTGCACGCGCCCCGGTGCTGGTTGGCCCGCCTCCCCCGCCAGCCCTTCCTCCGCGGCCGGCCGGCTCTTCCCAGGCCCCAGGCAGCCCCGACTCGGCCGCAGCAATCGGTCAGCGTAACCCGAGTGCCCGCCGCCGGCAGGCGAGGACGCCCCAGTGCGCCCGGGCCCCGACCTGCGACGTCACCGCAGGGAGGAGGGAGGGGCCGGCGCCCCGGGTCTGCGGCCCCGACCCCCGCCGAGAGGGCCACCCCCCCCCCCCCCCCCGGGGCCCCCCCCCCCGGGGGGGCGGCCCCCCCCCCCCCCCCGCCCCCCCCCCCCCCCCACCCCGCGGGCGCCCCCAGGCCGGAGGAGCAGAGGCAGCCGCCCGCCCCGCCCCGTGCTGCCCTGCCAGCCGGCGTCACGGCTCCCCGCAGTCCCCCGAGGGCGCCCGGCCCGCTCACCGCGGTAGTGCGTCTGGAAGCCGCCGGGCCGCAACACCGGGAACAGGGCGGCCACCCGGCTCAGCAGCCGCTCGCAGGGCCCGGGCCCGGCCGCGCCCTCCGCCTCGGCCTCGGCGCTGAAGCAGAAGCTGAAGCGGCGGATCTCGCGGGCCGCCTCCTCCTTGCCCAGAAGGTAGGCCTTCACCGTGAGAGACGCCATCACTACCCTTCGGGCGCCTGGGGACGAGCCGGGCCCAGATGACGGCGGGCGCGCGCTTTTATAAGGATCACGGGAAGCCCCGCTCCGGCCGGCCTCCTGGGGGCGGGGTCTCCGCGCCCCGCCCCTCTGCGCTGCCCTGCGCGAGCCGCCCTGCCGAGGCCCCGAGCCCGCTGCCCCCTCCCGTGTGTCGCCCCCCCCCCCCCCCCCTCCCCCCACGGTGTCCCGCACCCCCCTACAGCCGACCCCCTCCTCACTGTCCTCAGTGCCCCCGGGACCCCAAGAGGCCGACCCGGGACTCCGACCTCTAGGGTTGGGCTCCGACCTCCTCACCTGCGGGAAAGCACCCACGGGGGTCCCGCCCCGGAACCCTTCCAGGCCTGGGCCTGACCGTGACTCAGCAAAGCAGAACAAAGGCCTCCGGAGATGCCCAGTGCAGCGGCCCGAAGCCCTAGGCCGGAACTAACTGGCTCCCGAGGTCCTGTGCGGGACACTTCACTCTTCACAGCCTCCCATCCATTGGAAGAAGTTGGCTTCCAGGTGGCAGCCCGTTCCAGCGCCTCCAGCATTTTCCATGATGGCCCCTTACTGGAGTGAGGGACATAACCGCAGTTGGGCCTGAGCATCAGAGGAGCTCCTGGTGGGTAAGGCTGAGAGGTGCCTCAGGAGCACGGGGTCTCCTACCCTCACCTGGCCCTGGTGCCTCAGTGGTCCTCTGGTGTTCACTATAACCCAAGAGACTCCCCAAGGGCAGCCCGACCCCTGCTGGTCAGCACAGAGTTCAGTTCCACAGGTGGTGCCCAAAGGGCCAGCGTGGCCTCGGGCCTGTTGGCCACATGGACATCCCAGGAGTCAGACCAACAGCCGTCCAGCTAATAACCAAGAAACACGGTTTTATGGAACCAAACCCACCAGTTCACAAGGTCTGGAGGAAGGTGGGGGGAGGGTCTTCCAAGGAGGTGGGCAAGAAGGGTAGGTCACCCTATGCAGTCTCCCAGGTGGGGTCCTGTGAGTAGAAGGCAGACTTGCTGAGTCATGTCCTCTCATGGTGGGGTTTGGAGGAGCAGGCAAAACCTCAAGGGATGGGAAACCCGGAAGGGAAGGGTGGCTGGACTTGGCTGTCAGGTGTGAAGATGATTTGCTTATGGGAACACAGCAGGGACCTGTCCACAGGTGTAGATGGTCCTTCCCAGGGAGTCCAGAGTAGGTACACCCCTTTAAAAAGGACATACCCTCGCAAGCCCCTCCCTGCATCCCTGCTGTGAGCCTGGGAAAGGGACCTGATGCCCACTGCCCCAGGGTCAGAGGATGGACAAGGGGTGGCTCTGGGCAGAGGCTGCCGCAGCCCCCAGGTGTCCCAGGGCAGTCTTGACCCAGAGCCCAGCTTCCCACTCCCCCCAAGTTTCAGTGGCTTCATCGGAGCGAGTGGGGGTGCAGAAGGAAAGCCCTGGGGCCCTGGGAACCTCCGGTCTCAGGAAGGGCTCGAGGCGCAGGCCCTGTCCAAATAAGCGGGGGAAACAGACACTTGCCGCCAGAACCTCTTTGCTTTCTGACCCTTTGGCCCCATTGGGGACTGTGGTGGGTTTTCAAGGACAGATGGAGAGCTTAGGGGGAAAGAGAGTGGCAGGAAATGGCCCCAGGGAAGCCAACCTGGAGGCCCCACCCCTGGAGAGTCCCTGCTCTGGCCTTCCCAGGATGCCCTCCTGCTGAGCAGAGCCCTGGCCCTGGCCCTGCCCTCCTCTCCTCCCCCAAGGCCAGTGAGAAGTAAACAAGGCGGCAGCTGGGGAACCCCCTGGCAGGGCCCTCTCGCCTGCCTGCGGGGAGAGGTCAGGTGGTCTGGCCAGCAGTGAGTCAGTGTCCCATGACCACCCGTCATAACAGGGGGGATCCCCGCCCCCCTGCCACCTAGCTGGGTGACATTTTAACAGGCAGCCATGCCGCCAAGGTGGGGAGCAGTACTCCAGAGCTGCAAGAGGCCCCAGTGGCAGCAGGGAGACCAGAGCCAGCCAGACCCTGTCCCTGGGGTCCCAGGCCCCCTTCTGAGATCTGCTGCCTGTCCCCTCCCAGGACTCCACGAACCTCCCCTGTGCCCACTGGGACGTGAATCGGAAGACCCACCATCCACCAGTTCTGTCATCTTCAGGCATATGAGAAGCCTTTCAGTTTCCCCATCTCTGAAATGGGACTAGAATGGGGCTCCTCCCAGGGAGCTGGCTGGGATTTGGCTGCCTTTGGGGACATCAGCTGGGGGGTTGGGGTGTCAGAAAGGAGACTACAGTAGGGTTTGAGGTGCGGAGCAGAGAGAGACATGAGTCAGGAGTTTCTGGGGGAGGAGCAGGGGTGGCCGGGAGGTCATCTGACTGGGTTTATTGCCCTCTCTAGGTTGTAACCCCCCCCAAGGCCTCCTCCCTTACAGAAGTAATCCCATCCCTTGACCACGAATTTCTGATGTTCTGTGTATTTTCTTTGGGGTATGGAGCCAAGCCTACAGGTGGGTGGTGGGGCAACCAGAGACAAGGCCATGGCAGGACTCTGGCCACAATGCTCTGGGCCACCTTGAGGAAACTGAGGTTCACAGGGGATCAGGTTCCTCCAGAACCCAGCTAGGGGCCCAAGGGCTGAGTCTTATTTCTCCATGGAGAAACAGTGTGCTTCGTGGGTGGGAGCTCCACACCGTCCTCCACAAGGGAGGAACACATCCCCTCCTTGGCTCCTGATCCTGCCAACTCATTCTACCTGATGACTTTCCCCAGGCTCCTCCCTATCTGGAACTCTCCCTCCTCCTCCTGCATTGGCATCTCCTCCATGGGGAGAGGCCTTTCCTGAGCATCCCCTTGGGAAAACCCACAGACACTGGATGTTACCTCCTTTTAACCCCTCCTGCGAAAGCCCACAGTCCAGCCAAGAGGTGTGGGGGGCCATTGCAGGGTGAGGGTGGGGTGGGTTTGGGGGTGTTCTTAAAGAAAAAGGGCTCTGGGTACAGGAGTGGTGCAGTCGGTTAAGCCTCCGACTCTTGGTTTTGGCTCAGGTCGTGTTCTCGGGTCAAGAGATCAAGCCCCAGGTTGGGCTCCACGCTCAGCAGAGTTGGCTTGGGAATCTCTCTCTCTCCCTCTCCCTTTGCCCTCCCCCCTACCTGCTGTCTCAAAAATAAATATATAAATGTTTAAAAAAAAGAAAGAAATAAAAGAGGCTCAGGGTATGCAGCATCAGGGAAATGCAGTAAAGCCGCAAGGCGTCATGATTGGAGAGTTCGGGAATGCTAAGTTGCCAGGCATGTAGCTGGAGGACAGGAGCTTCAGTCTGGGCTCAGCTGCCTGCATGCCATCCCATGGGGGCGGGACACTTGTCCCAGATGGCCACTGAGGGGCACCCTCTGCACGTGACAGTGCTCCTCCGTGGGCAGCAGGCCGCTCTCATCAACACTGAATGAGGGAAAGGAAGCACGGCAAGGCCCAATTCGGGCCGTATGTGTAAATACCTGTCAGAAAGCTCGGGGACACCTGGGTGGCTCAGTCCATTGAGCATCTGCCTTTGGCTCAGGTCATGATCTTGGGGTCCTGGGTTCGAGTCCTGTATCAGGCTCCCTGCTCAGTGGGGATCCTGCTTCCCTCTCTCCCTCTGCTGCTCCCCCGACTTGTGCTTGCTTGCTCTCTCTCAAATAAATATATAAAATCTGAAAAAAAGAAGCAAGCAAGCAAGCTCAGTGCCCAGGCTGGGCGGTACTAGGGACCTCTCTAGCTGAGCCGCGTGCCTGCCATGTGCCTGGCCAGGAACAAATGTGCAGCCAGAGCTTGGCCCAAGGTGGGAGTCCTTGGAGGGAGCCATAGGCCACCTGGGTAGAGGCTGGACTGGACCTCGTCCTCACTACTGGTGCCCACTGGCCAGCCCCCTCTCAATCGTGTGTCCCTGGGCCCTTAGCCCTGGGTAGGTCCTTGCCCTGTGGAGATGCCAGCAGCGGCACTGGTTTCCCCACCCACAGCACCAAGGAGAGCACCCTCACTGCACACACATCAGATCTGGTGGTCCCCTAAGGCCATTGATTACTTGGAACCTACCCACGCCTGGGTGGAGGCTCAGACAAGGGTCACTGGGGTCACGGACGGAGATCTGACAATGGAGCCAGACCTCGCAAGCCTCTCCCATTCTTTTGCACACTGTTGTGGGCCCCCAGGGGGGCCAGCCTGAAGGCAGATGGTTCTGGAATCATCTGTGGAGAAGCTTGGTGGTATGGGAGAGGGGACCATGATGAGAGAGTGCAGAGACCCCGGACAGGTTTAGGCGCCCCAGGCTGATCCAAGACAGGAGACCAGAGGAGGCATCTGGGCCTGGCAGAGCAGGTGGCTGCAACTGGAGGCAGAGGGGTGGGGGCGGGGGCTGAAGTTCCCCTTGATAAAAGTTTGGGTGAGGAGCACCTGGGTGGCTCAGTGGGTTAAAGCCTCTGCCTTCGGCTCAGGTCCCAGGGTCCTGGAGTCAAGCCCTGCATCGGGCTCCCTGTTCAGCCGGGAGCCTGCTTCCTCCTCTCTCTCTCTGCCTACCTCTCTGCCTACTTGTGATCTCTGTCAGATAAATAAAATCTTAAAAAAAAAAAAAAAGTTCGGGTGAGAGAAGGAAGTTTACAGCCCTCACTGTTGCATTTCACATGCATTCCTAATTTCCTTTAAGGATGGAAATTGTCCCTTAAGGATTCATTTCTCTCCAAGGGCTGAGGGAAGGGTGGGACAGGGACATGCCCAAGCTTGGCCAACTAGAGCACTGTGGCACCCTGGGTCAGGGCTGGGTGGCTAACCCTAGCTGGCCACCGACCCTGACCTCAGCCTCTGAGCTCCTTGGTCCCCGGCAGGCTTGACGCTGTGTCACGAGATGCCTTAATCCAGTTGATTTGGGTCTCGGTCAGTGGTAACCACGAGTACTACCGACCACCCGTCACGCCTGCCCCAGGGCCCCCAATGACAAGGATACTCCGCACAATGCCGGCCAGCAGGCGGGGCTCAGCTGTGACCCTGTGGTGCCTTCAGACCCCTGGCAGGTTCCTGTTGGTCATACATTCAGATAATCACAGTAAAACACTCAGCAAGTGCTTCTCTTATGCCAGGAAGCAGTCTGAATATTTTATGTATGAACTCACCTGCTCCCCTGAGGTAATGTCACACCGTTCATTCCAGCCCAGGACCTGAGACAAGAGCCCCATAAGACTTATAGGCCAGAGCATGTGTTTATTTGCCAATGTCAAAGCTTCTGTCCCTGTCGGAGAAGCCCATAATGTTCAGACGGTCGCATCTGAAAGCCTGGGCAGGAACTACCACAACCAGAGTTCCCCAACGACCCGTGAGAGATGCCTGGCTTTGAGAAATATACCGTTATTAAATCATGGAAATGTGCGGTTATGAAGCCTATCCTGACTGATTATTATCCCCACTTTTCACCCCAGGGAAAGAGGCAGAGAAAAGATTCAGTAACTTGCCCAGAATCAGGATTATGAACCCAGGCAGGCTGCCTCTCTAGTCCACGCTCTTGACCTCAACAATATACAATCCCCTGAAGGTTGTCCTGCACCTATCGACTTCATCTCCAAAACCCTGTCCCCCATTCCAGGCCGTCTTGCTCCCAGATGCCTGCATCAGGGCATCTACCTCTACCACTTCCCTTTTAGGTTCAGTACCTAGGGCCTGTGAATTAAATTAACAAAACAAAACAAAAAAAAAGATTAGCAAGAGATAAGTCAGAATTTTATTTCAGTACTAGGCAGTTAGAATTTGGGGGCTGATAGCCCAACTTAATAGGGAAAGCAGAGGAGGAGATGGTACTTAAGGGGGAAACAAAAGACTTCTAGGAAAGATAAATGGCTGCTCAGGAGAAGGATGAGAGGTATTATTGATGGTTTTGTAACAATGGGCTTATCAGGTTATAAAAGCCACTCTGAAAGGGATTTAGAATAACTGAGTTATTTTGGGAGGCCTTGCTTTCAGGCAGATAAGGGAGTTCAAGGAAAAGCCTATTTTCAGATGCTTTCAGCTCGATACAATTTTCATGCCCCAGTGATGTATTCTGGACTCCTTCACCTACAAGGGCCCTTTGCTCATCTCCCTGCTTCCTTTCTTCCTCCCTCCGGCCCCTTCCACACACCTCTCCCCTCTTGCTGTAGTGATCTTTTCAAAATGTCAGTATGACCATCTCAGTCCCTGGTTTGGATGCTCCCCGTAGCTCCAAGGGTAAAACCCCCAACCTCTGAAAAGGTGTGCAAGGACTTGCTCCCCACCCACCCCTTCTCTCACTGAGCTGTAGGGACTCCTTCCATGGCTGATCCAGCTGACCCCCTCTGCTAGGGCCAGTCCTCCTTCTCCCCTGGGGCATATCACTAACCTCATCTCCCCAGGAAGGCCCACTATCTTCGGACAAGGGAACTTCCCCCACTGTAAGCTTTCTGAGCTCCATGGACTTTACCTTTCCAGGACTGGGTGGAGTGGCCAGAGACAGGACGCCGGCTGTGTAGTGTCCCCGCTAGTGTCCCTGGTATCGTTGGTGACTCAGGCATGTCTGGCACACAGCAAACACTCAGAACATTGGTTATGAATGAAAATAGAAATGAGGTATCCAAGGAAAGAAGGGACCGCTGAGGGCTGAGGTGAGGCTTAGGGCAGGACTTCCAAACTCTCACGGGGCAGGAGATTGATTCCCTTAGCATCTGGAGAGGACAAAACATGCTTAGAACCATGTTTTGAAATGCTTAAAATATATTGCATCACACAAGGAGTACTAATATTGAAATGCAATTATCAAAATATAAAAACACAAGTGTGGGGGGTGCCTGCCCGGCTGGCTCGGTCCATGAACTCTTGATCTCAGGGTCCTGAATTTGAGCCCCACATTGGAGAGGGGCTTGAATTCATGAGCCTGAGCTCATGACCCTGAGATCAAGGGTCCCGTGCTTTACCAACTGAGCCAGGCGCCGCACCTGTGATTCTTTATTAACTCATTCCATTAAAACATAGGCAGGGCTGATAAACACGAGAATCACCAAGCAGAAGTGTGTTACTGCTCTTCAGAGGCACCTGCGACACCCATAGTCTGAAAATCCCTGAAATTTCTGTGCAGTGGTCTCAAATACCACTCATTCTGCCCAACTTCCCTCACCTCTGTTCATAACTGGAGGAAATGCTGCGTTGCAGTTACAGATTAGTAAACATTTAAGATGGATTTTTTTTTTTTTTCTTTCTCATCTTATCTCCTAGACCTTCCCAGTTCCAGGTCCCTGGACCACAGGTTGAGAAGCCCAGGAGAGAAGGATGGAAAGACCAGCAGTGCCAAGGGTCATGCCAGAAAATCTCCAGGAAGGCAAAGTGGGCTGAGGGCTGACAGGTGATCCCGATATGGGGGAGTTTTCGCTCTGTAGGAGGCAAGACAAGGGAAGAAGGACAAACAGCTTGGAGTCTGGGGAGAGAGCAGGACTTTTCTGTGCCCATTTGGCTCCATGCTTTCTCCTGGGTGGGGATCAGAGTTGCCAACCCCAGGACAGAAGCTGAACCCTTGGGTGAGGAGGTGCTGTTCCCCAGGCCTTAAAGGGCCTGGAGGGAGTCTGGCTGTGGACAGTCCCTGGGGAATGAATTATTTCAAGGGCACAGAGAGCATGGAAAACTGCATGGGGGCCCAGCAAATGCTCCTGTTTCAAAGGAGAAAGGTAGGAAGGAGTCCTCCAGGAGCTGGGACAGCAAGACCCCCACCACAGTGGGCAGAATGAATGAATGAATGAATCCAGGAACAAATGAATTAAGAAACACCGGGCCTCCCCTCCCGGGGATGTCACTTCTGCAGGCTTCTGTTCTCTTGCCAGGACCACCCCACTTCCAGCCCCCTTCTGGTGGCAGCACCGGCTTTCTTGGGGATGTCCCTTCTCTCCCTCAGCTTACAATCCCAGCAGGACATTCGGGCATGGCATTGACAAACTGGCAAATGCGTGGGGAATCCCTCCTGGGGAAGACTGCTCCCAAAACGCCATAGCCTGGACCCCTGTGGCTGCCCAACCACTGGCTCGGGTGTGTGGCCCCCTCCAGCCTAGAGCCCCTAGCCCCTCTCACACTCCCCTTCACTCCAGATTTTAGACTTCTCGAAGTCGATCACCACCGTTCTCCCCCACCATGGCCCTGGATAGTCCCATTCTTTTCTTTTTTTTTTTTTTTTAGATTTTATTTATTTATTTGACAGATAGAGATCACAAGTAGGCAGAGAGGCAGGCAGAGAGAGAGGAGGAAGCAGGCTCCCCGATGAGCAGAGAGCCTGATGCGGGGCTTGATCCCAGAACCCTGAGATCATGACCTGAGCTGAAGGCAGAGGCTTAACCCACTGAGTCACCCAGGTGCCCCAGATAGTCCCATTCTTGATAGAGGCTTTGCAATCTCCAGGATTCTGTCTCCATCCCTGGGGCATCCCTAATTCCGGTTCCTCCTCCCCAAAGCCAGAGTGTCTGTGGGAGGGGACTTGGATGAGTTCCCCAAACTTTTATCACAGACAGGCCATCTCTTTAATTTTTACTGGTTTAGTAATTTTCCTTAAATCAACTCGCTTTTAAACTTAGACATTTAGATAAATTTAAAAACCCCTGTATCACAGTCCAGATGAAAAACCATTATCCCTTGCCACAACCAGTAGATGCCCTGTAAAAACACAGGAACACAGTTTCCTTCAGAAGACTCCAACAGGGGCGCCTGGGTGGCTCAGTGGGTTAAAGCCTCTGCCTTCAGCTTAGGTCATGATCCCAGAGTCCTCTCTGCTCAGCAGGGAGCCGGCTTCCTCTTCTCTCTGCCTGCCTCTCTTGCCTACTTGTGATCTCTGTCAAATAAATAAAATCTTAAAAAAAAAAAAAAAGACTCCAACAATGGCTCAGTGGGTTAAGAACCTGCCTTCGGCTCTTTGGGTCATGATTCCAGCGTCCTGGGTTCCAGCTGGGAGTCCGCTTCTCCCTCTCAGACCTCTTCCTTTGCCCCTCCCCCCTGCTCATGCATCCCAGAGTTCTCTTTCTCTCTCAAATAAAAAAAGGCGGGGGGCATCTGGGTGGCTCAGTTGGTTGGGCGACGGCCTTCCTCTTGGGTCATGATCCCAGAGTCCTGGGATGGAGTCGTGCATGGAGCTCCCTGCTGCCGGTGAAGCCTTCTTCTCCCTCTCCTCCCTGCTCCTGCCCTCTCTCACTATCTGTCTCGCTCTCTCCAATAAATAAATAAAACCTTAAAAGAGAAGAAGGAAAATCCAACAAAGCCTCGTGTCAGTTCATAAAGTTCATTAGGGGGCCCCTGGGTGGCTCAGTCGGTTAAGTGACGGACTCGGTTTGGGCTCAGGTCATGCATGCTCTCGCGGTCCGGCGATGGGGCCCAGGGACAACCGGCTCCGCACTCAGCGTGGAATCTGCTTAGACTCTGTCTCCTTACTTGCTCCCGGCATAAATACCTCTGCAGAGGCTCCCGCCCAGACCCTCCCGTGCTCCCCGGAGCACATCCTACCCCCAGATGTGGACCCGGGCTGGAAGGAAAAACAAACCCCCAGCAACTCCTGGTCTGAAGCCTCTCCCACCGGGCGGAGCCTGCGAGCAATGCTGGGAACCATGACTCTAGGAACTGGAAAAGGGCTCTCCCCAAATGCCCGGCCCGAACCTCAGTAGGACGAATCCTTTTACCGTTTGCAGTTTGCACCCTCCCCGGTTTCACCGAGGGCTGGGGAAAGAAGGAAGGCCGGAGCGCCCCGCGGGGAGGGGAGAGGCGAGGGACCGCGAAGGGCCGTGGCCCGCCTCACCCTGAGGTCCCCCTGCCTCCCGCCCACCCGCGCCACCCCGGGAGCCAGCCCCGCTCTGGACTGGCCACTGTGCCCAACACCAGCGCAACAGCGGCTCTTTTGCTCGGGAAAACGGCCCGCTGCCCGCACTCTGCGGAGCAGGAGCGCCTCCGGCAGCCCCCTGCGCGCCCTCATCCCGCCGACTGAGAAAGATTCTGGAAGGCGAAACGCCCGGGGCGCGGTGCAGGCAGCGGCCACTCCGGGCCAGCCTCCCAGCTCGAGGCACCGCCAGCTCCAGCTGCACCTCGCCCCCTCCCGCCGGCCCGAGGGTCCCGGGGTAAAGGGGACGTGGGGTCCGGGGCTCAGCTGGAAAGGGGCAGTGGGTCCTAACGGAGAGGTTAAGAAACCGAGGTCCCGGCCGCCGCTCCCCACCCCCGGCTCACCACCTCCCCTGCAGCCGACCCGCACTCGCGAAGGCCCCGGCCTCGACCTACCCGAGGCTGCCCGACGCCGGGGCCGCGCGAGCCCACGCAAGGAGCCACAGTCCCGGGCCGCGCGGGCGGGATCCCGGGAGCCGCTACCCCACCCCGCCCCCTCGCGGTGCTGGCGGCGGCAGCTGGTGTTGCGGCCCCTTTAAATCCGGGCCGCCCCGCCCTGCGCTGCCGACTCCGCGGCGGCCCCGGATCCAGGCCGGGCCGCGGCTCTCGCCGCCCAGCCTCGCGGAGCCCAGCCCGGCCCGGCCCAGCCGCCCAGTCGAGGCCGCCCGCGCCGCCCGCCCCGCGCCCGCGAGGAGCCGTCAGCGCGGCGCCCGGCCCGTGTCCCCGGCGTTGCCCGCCCGCGCCCCCGCCCGGCCCCGGGCCCCCAGCCCCATCCCGCCCCGGGGCCGGGGCCCCCCACCGCCTCCCGGCCCCCCGCGCCCCGGCCCCGGCTCCCCGGGCCATGCGGCCTCGGCCCCGCCGGCGCCCGCCGCGCACCGGAGGAGATGAGGCTCCGCAATGGCACCTTCCTGACGCTGCTGCTCTTCTGCCTGTGCGCCTTCCTCTCGCTCTCCTGGTACGCGGCGCTCAGCGGCCAGAAAGGTGAGCCCCTCCCCCGCCGGGCCCCGCGCCACGTCCCGCACCTGGGCTCACCTGGGCGCCGGCGGCCGTAGCGGGGTCCGGCCGACCGCCGCGGGAGGCGGCCGGAAGCCGACGCAGGCGCCCCTTCCCCGCCCGGGAGGCGCGGGAGGACGCCCCTCCCATCCTCGCCCCCACTTGTTTGCTGCCGGAATAGCGAAATCCTCCTCTGGCCTGGGCTGGGCCGCCGGGGCCGAGCGGTTGGCGGGGGCCCGGGGCGGCGCTCCGGACCGCGGGATCGGCCTCGGTGAGTACGGCTGCGCCCGTACTAGGGCTGGTCGCTCCCGCGGGCGACCTAGGGACCTTGGAGTTTCCAGAGAGGGGCAGAGACACAAGGTCAGGAGATGGTCGTGGCCAGGTGGCCCCAAGGTACCTTCTCCAGGCACCTGGGCAGGAGCAGGTGCAGTGTCCCTGAGACAGGTGCGAGGGGGCAGCCCGGCAGCACCCTCCACCCCACACCACCTCTCCACCCCAGCGTAAGGTGGGGGGCCGCTCTCTGGGGCCTCCGCTGCCCTCCCCCATGACGTCTGGCCCCAGGATTCCTCGGCGGGGACCTGGGTGCTGGGGGAGCACTCCCGTGGCTGCTGGCCCGCTGCTGGCCTGGTGAGTAGCCCGCCCAGCCTCAGCTACCCGTTAACTTATTTCGTGTGGTCTCATCGGACCTCCAACCCTCCACCTGAAGTTTGGGCAGGCTGGCCAGACCACCACTCCTCTGAGCTTAGTCTGCACACCTGGGGATGGGGGCAGGCCGCAGCTCTGGCTGAAGTCGCTTGATGTTGGTTGGGACTGGG